GAAGGCTGAGGTAGAAGGATCGCCAGAGCCCAGCAGGTCGAGGATGCGGTGGCTGGGAGCAGCCACTGCACTCCAGTCTGGGCAACAAAGTGAGACTCCAACTCAAAACAAAACAAAAGGCCATGTAATGAGTATGCATGTGTACCCCCTGAATCTAAAATTAAAAGTTAAAAATTAAAAAAAAAAAAAAGAAGATGGTTTCCTCCCTTCTTTTCTTCTTCCCTCCTTCTGGGGGATTGGGGAACAATTACTCAGTGCACCTCCTGTGCTCAGCGTGGCATTGGTTTTCACCTGGACTATGGGATGGAGATGGGGAGATTATACTATCAGGGGAAGTATGTGTGGTTCTGATTAAAATCCCCACCCGGTGATTCTTATTCCTTATCTTAGAGAATAGATGCTTTAGAAACGTTAAAGGATTCAGGCAGAACTGCTCGTTAATTGTGGAAGGTGCTCAGAAAACAATTGCTGGCCATCCCTGACTTGATGCTTAGTACAGGAGATAAAGGACTTAGAAGTCAGTATGTTGTAGGCACTCACTAAGTTCGGATCATCAGTGGTTGTGATAATCAAATAAATTATCTCTCTGTTATTCAGATTGATTAGTAAAGCTAAATAGTATAGACCTTTTGGCTTACCCCAGAATGGTCTTAGTCTGTGTCAGGACGATCTATAAGGTAACAGAACACATAGATTGCTGGGATGACTTGAAAACCTGATTGAACAGAGAACTGAAGAAGTGCGCCCCACCCTGGGGCTTTAGCTCTAATGTCTTCCTCAGTCTGGAAGATTCCAGCCTGACTGAGTGTTTCACCTCCTGTAAGCCTTCACTGAGCTCTCACTTTCTCAATGAGGTCTAATGCTTGCCTCCCCTTTCCATAGCTGGCGCTTCCTCATCATTTTGTGTTGCTCTCCTTATTATGACTTCCTTATTATTGATGTTGTAATACCTGTATTAGATAGTTCATCGGATTCATTTTTGTCTCCCTGCACAAGACTGCAAGCTCTATGTGAATGGGGGTCTTTTTTTCTTCCCTGATCTATCCCCCAGCCTCTGGAATGGTACCTGATGCATTGTAGAAGTTCAGAAAATATTTGTTGAATGGATGAATGCTTTCCTATATAAAATTCAGTGCAGTAATAAACAATAGACATAGCCTATATTAGTCACTCAATACTGGCTCTGGATAAATATTAAGATAAATATTTTTTATTAATCTTGACCTGTGAGGATGTCTTCTTTTTCTCCCCCCCAACCCCTGGGAAGAGTGTGGGATTGTAGCTTTACTATTTATTTATTTATTTATTTACCTACTTACTTATTTATGTATTTTAAAGATATGGGGTACAATTCAGCATTAGGTATACAAATGTTCATTATGCAGGTACCCTTGTTGATGAGGTGCCCCCCCCCCCGCAGTTTCCCTCAACTGCCAATCCTACCCCCTCACCATCCCCTGGCAGTTTCCCATACTGCCAATCCCCTTCTTATAGTATTATAATTGTTCAAGGTCTGCTTATGAGTGAGAACATATGGTACTCTGTTCTTTGTTTTCTGTGATAGATCACTGAATATGATTGACTCCAAATCCATCCAAGCTACTGCAAAGTTCATATGTTTGTCCTTCTTTATGGCTGCATAATATTCCATTGTGTATATGTGCCACATTTTTCTATCCAGTCCAGCTTCGATGGGCAACATGGTTGTTTCCATGTTTTTGCTGTTGTGGATAGAACTGCACCAAACATGCATGTGCAGGTATCTTTTTGGTAGAATGACTTGAGTTCCACTGGCTATATTACCAATAGGGGGATTGCTGAGTCATATGCAGGGACAATTTCTAGTTCTTTCAGAAATCATCACACAATCTTCCAAAGAGGTTGCACTAGTTTGCATTCCCACCAGTGGTGTAGAAGTGTTCCTTTTCTCCACATCTTCGCTAACATCTGTTGTTGTTTGTTTTATTAATTATGGCCATTCTTACTGGGGTTAGGTGGTGACTCAGTGTCGTTTTGATTTGCATTTCTCTGGTGAGTGAGGTTGATGACTTTTTCATGTGTGTTGGCTGTCCATGTCTCTTCTTTTGAGAAGTGTCTATTCATGTCTTGTGCCCACCTTTTAATGAGTCTGTTTGTTTTTTCTTTTCGGGACACTTGAGTTCCTTGGAGATCCTAGATGTTAAGCCTTTGTCAGATATATAGTTGACAAATTTTTTTCCCCATTCTGTGGGCTGTCTCCCCTCTTTCTTGTTTTGTTTTGTTTTGTTTTTTTGCTTTGCAGAAGCTTGTCAGTTTGATGAGGTCCCACTTGTCTATCTTCTCTCTTATGGTATGGACACTTGGGGTTTTGATCAGGAATTGGTTGCTAGTTCCATTTCTATAAGGGTGTCTCCTGCATTTTCTAAGATTCTTATAGTTTGAGGTTTTACGTTTAGGTCTTTGCAGGCTGATCACATGCAGAAGATTGAAACAGGGCCTCTACCTATCACCATACACAAAAACTTAACTCTAAGAGGATATCTTCTAAATTAAGTTATCACATGGTTTAAAGTGTGGATCTAGAGCTGGAAGATGTTGGATTATAATGACTAAGCTTCTGGGTTTTCTGGTGCAAGTTACTGAACAACTTGGTGCCTTGGTTTCCTCTGTAAACAGCCTCATGAAGTTGTGCTGTAGACTAAATGAATGAATGCATTTAAGCCATTAGAAAAGGACCTGCGATGCAGCAAAATCTCAGTTAATAAATCCAATTTATGGAGTACTCACTTGTTTAAAAATAATTATATGATACACTTATTTTGCAATTATATGTTATATTTATTTTGCAAAAAGAAATTTAAAGTTAAATGGGTTAGCCAATTTTCAGAAGGAAGAAAAGCACAGATAAATGCACAGTTTGAGTATTTGCCATATTCCTGTTTTTACTACAATGATAACACACTTAGAATGAAACAAATATTGAATTTATTATTAAATCTCTTATGTCTTAAAGTCAGTTTTAAAACAGAGAGCTTGTGGGTTTCATGTGAACCTTTTGTTTCTGATTTCATATAGATCCCCATATTAAGGTTTCTGGAAAGAAAGAAGATGTTAAAGAAGCCAAGGAAATGATCATGTCTGTCTTAGACACAAAAGTAAGTGAATGTTAAGGACACTCAGATGTCAGAACCTTGTCTCTGCAAGGGCTACTTCATGCCGTTATGAAAGAACCATTTGGAGAAGAAAAAGCAGGAAAAAGTAATGGTGGGTTTTAAAATAAGCACATGTGATTCTACAGTGGATATAAAACTCTAGTTAATATTTGAATAGATTTTCTCATGCTAGGTAATTGAACTATATACATATGTGTGTATATATGTGTGTGTGTGTATATATATATATATATATTCCATATATACCATTTAAATGTAGATATTGGTTCTGGTTAGTATAGGAATAAGTAACAAAGATTGTAGGAATTAGCATATTTTCCTTTATGATGCAAGTAGAAACCCAGAATGATCTTCTGTATAGCTTGGTGGTGTATGTGTGATAGTGCAAAATGTGATACTTTTTCTTGTGCAACCACACTCTCTCTCTCTTTCTCTCTGTGCAAAAATATATGTATAGAGGTAACAGGGCATTTTAAATATGTAAAAATATATACTCTTGTGAGAATTTGTTTTCTTTGATGGACACACTAGATCACTTACTGTATACCAGGCACTTTACATTTTGCAAATATTAATTTGTTTAATCTTCATAACTAACACATCACAGAGATATTAGGTAATTTGCTCAGGATTCCAGAGCTAGTAAGTGGGGCAGTGGGATTCAAATCCAGGATGTCTGGTTCTTAACTACTTGGTTTTTTGCCTCCTGATATTTCACTGGAATGATCTCTTATCTTTCTTTTTCCTTCCTTCTTTCTTTCTAGTCTTTGTTGGTTTTTTTTTTAAACAATTAAAGAATAATTTAGTTTATAATAATTAAATATTTTAGAATTTTCTCCCAAAGGGGAATATTTTCAAAGATTAAGCTGAAAGAAGAACTAAGTTTAAAAATCAAAATAATAGGTATGTTTAAAATTGAAGAATTCAGAAAGTTGAAGATATTTTTCTATTTTTGGCATCTTGTTACATTTTTACTTTATTTTCATTATTAAGGCCTGAAGAATGTTACTACCAGTCTTGTAAATGAGAAAGGATTTCATGTCCGTCTTTGTAATTTTATAACACAAAATTTCTCAAAAGTAAATGCATAGATTCCAATATGATCACGGTGTTTTTACACATTATATCTTGGAATTTTACATTGTGCTTTAATGTACCTAATACACATTGAATTCATTAAATTAAGCCATTTTACTTCCATATATCTATGCTTTGTGCTCTCTGCCTCACTTTCCTTCCTACCAGCAAAAATAATAAACCTACTTGTAAAGTTCAACACACAGTAATGTAGAAGTTGTGAAAGCAACACTTGTAAATATTTACTCATAGTTTTGAACTTGATTTTTAGTTTTAGTTTTCTATCATTTTAGTTCTGCAGCCCCACAGTCTTACCAGCATGCATATCTTCAGTCTCATAATTATATTTCATTTATTTTTAATTATTTGAGTTAAATGTTCACAAATAATGTCTTAAAAAAAGAAAATGAGCTGGGCTCGGTGGCTCAGTCTGTAATCCCCCGCCTTTGGGAGGCTGAGGTGAGTGGATTGCCTGAGCCCGCAGGTTCGAGACCCACCTGGGCAGCGAGACCTCATCTCTACAATAAATCAAAAAATCAGCCAGGCGTGGTAGCGTATGCCTGTAATTCCGGCTACTTGGAAGGCTGAGGTGGAAGGATCACCGGAGCCCAGCAGGTCGAGGCTGCGGTGGCCGGGAGCAGCCACTGCACTCCAGTCTGGGCGACAGAGTGAGACTCCAACTCAAAAAAAAAAAAAGAAAGAAAATGAGTAATTTATTTGTAATTGTAGCTGACTTTATTTAAAGACTACTTTCCAAAAAGTTATCTTGATAAAGAACTTATCTTTTATTTCTTCTGACAAATGTGTCTTCAAAATGAGGATTTATTTTTTATAATCAAAGAGAAATTGAATATCTATAGATTAAGCTGATCTTATTAAGAAAATTGTAGGATTTCCCACCAGCTCACTTTTTATTAATACTGTTCCCTTGGGGTCAGATTGTTTTAGGGAGTTGTTCTTTCCTTTTTCCATGCACCAAGTCATCATATATTTTTTCATGTAGAGCAATCGGGTCACATTGAAGATGGATGTTTCACATACAGAACATTCACATGTAATTGGCAAAGGGGGCAACAATATTAAAAAAGTGATGGAAGAAACCGGATGCCACATCCACTTTCCAGATTCCAACAGGAATAATCAAGCAGAAAAAAGCAACCAGGTGATTTGTCTTTTCACATGAATTTTATTGGATGAATTAGATCTTTAGTTTTCAATGTGCATATCTTTTTTTGAGAGGTGAGGACAAAAAAGTAATCATATAGATAACATGTAGTATGGATTGTGTGGCTCCTTGAAAGAAGATTGAACCTTTCTGAGGAGTTGAAACTCTTGATCTCTAAATTCTTTGAAAGAAAATAGGGAAGGTTGTGATGGCCACAAAATGAAGCCTTTAAGAAAAGGCTGAGAGAGCATGTCAGTGAAGACCTAGAAGCTTGCCTAGTCCAGGAACCTATTCATTGCCTGGGTTCTGTCTGCAGAAACTCAGCGGTGGTCCCCCAGGCCACACCGGATCACCTTCCGAGCAGCGATGCATGAGTGCTCGACTTCTTATGGTGCCTGAGCTATGTCTCGCTCTAGTTTATACACACTTTTTTTTCTAATTCTTTGGTTTGAAAACAAGTGGAACTCGCCTGTCCATACAAGCACTTTCAGTACTTAAAAAAACAGAATTATTTGTGTAATTTGGAAGTGTTTTTTCTGTTAAGCTAGTCACAATACTTGAAACTGTCAGTCATAAAGACAAATAAGTAGTAGTCTTTTCTCTACAAGGACTAACGATGACAGAGGGATGTATGCATAGGGTCTAGATAGAAAGCCCTAGTAAAAGACAAGGGCAGTATTCACATGATTTAATAACTGGTGTGACATGGCCATCAGCCGTAACCACAGTGAACCGGAGCCTCTGGGCCCCACAATATCAATACGAATGCTTTAGTTGAGGGAACATGGGAAGGTCCTGGAAATCCCAGGTGAAAGTTCCAGGGAGGTGTCGGAGCAATGACTATTTACCGTCTGGTATGGAAGATGTTCAGTATTTTCAGAACCTAGTGCAGCCGTATCATTGAATATTGATATGTATCTGATGTGCAAAGAGTTTGAACAAAGTGGAGAAAATGCAGTGAACAAGAGTAATTAAAAAGAGGGCAGGCTGGCCTCGTGGGAGCTGTGGGCCTTTAGGTAAGTCCAGGGGATAATACAGCTCAGTTAACAAAAATCACCTGAAGATCTCGTTAAAATGCAAATCCTGATTAAGCAGGTCTAGATTGGAGCCTAAGATCCTTCATTTTTAACAAGCTCCCAGGTAATACCACTTCTATTTTTCCCTAGATGACCCTTTGAGTCACAAGGATGCAGATTAACTGGAAAAGCCAGTGTGAGTTTGATTAAAATAAATCTAACTTAGTATTGTCTTACTTTTGCAGGTATCTATAGCAGGACAACCGGCAGGAGTAGAATCTGCCCGAGTTAGAATTCGGGTAACTATTTACTACTTTAATATTCTAAATTAACATCAGTAACATTTTTATTTTAAGGGATTAAAAATATCATACTTCATCATTTTGTAATCAAATCATATATCTCATAAGTAGGAAATAGTGGCAAAAGTTGTTTTAATGTCCATTTTAGCATTCATTGTGTAAATATTTATTGTAGGTATTTAAAATGAGTTTCTATGCTATTTGCAAACTTTTTTTTTTAACCAAAGATGTTCTGGATTTCATCTGACTCAGTGTCTTTGATTTTTTTTCTTCTAATAATCAAAAGAGACCTGAGGAATAATGCCACAAGCAGTATGAGTTGCAAAGTCTCATGTTTCGCAAAATACTCCTTCCATTTAAAAAACTTTATATAATCTATCTAAGCTACTGTCTACAATAAAAGCAGGTGATATTTTAAAGTCTATCTTCAGGCCGGGCTTGGTGGCTCAGTTTGTAATCTCAGCACTTTGGGAGGCCAAGGCGAGTGGAGCCCCCACGTTCGAGACCAGCTGACGCAACTTAGCGAGACCTCATCTCTACAATAAATCAAAAATTAGCCGGGCATGGTAACTCACGCCTGTAGTTCCAGCTACTTGAAAGGCTGAGGTGGAAGGATTGCCAAAGGCCAGCAGGTCACTGGGGTGGCCATGAGTGTGCCACTGCACTCCAGCCTGGGCAACGGAGTTGGGCTCTAACTCAAAAAGAAAAAAAAAATGATATCTTCAAAAAAGAACCAATGAATTATATGCATCTCTAAATGTATAGTGCTTTCACAATCTGCTTTGGCTTCTCATCATTTCATTTTAGGAGCTGCTTCCTTTGGTGCTGATGTTTGAGCTACCAATTGCTGGAATTCTTCAACCAGTTCCCGATCCTAACTCTCCTTCGATTCAGCACATATCACAAACGTACAACATTTCAGTATCATTTAAACAGCGTTCCCGGATGTATGGTGCTACTGTCATAGTACGGGGGTCTCAGAATAACACAAGTGCTGTGAAGGTAAATGACTTGGATAATTTTGAACATAAATATACAAGTCATACAAGTTTTACTTTGAAAGGATATTCAACTAATTTGTTTTCCAGAACTATCCTTCATATTATGCTTTGCTCTGAATAGTAGAATATGCTGTATTTTTCCATAGTATTAGACATGTGATAGAATCTTTCCCTCTCTATGGACAGTTATTCTATCGTGTTATTTTCATCCCACCGTTTTCTCCTAGGAAGGAACTGCCATGCTGTTAGAACATCTTGCCGGGAGCTTAGCATCGGCTATTCCCGTGAGCACGCAACTGGATATTGCAGCTCAACATCATCTCTTTATGATGGGTCGAAATGGGAGCAACATCAAACATATCATGCAGAGAACGGGTGCTCAGATCCACTTTCCCGATCCCAGTAACCCACAAAAGAAATCCACCGTCTACCTCCAGGGCACCATTGAGTCTGTCTGTCTTGCAAGGCAATATCTCATGGTAAGGTTACTGAAAAGTGTAAAATTTTTTCTTTTAACCTCTTTGGATTCAGTATGTGTTGCAGGTTTAATTTCGCTGCATAGACGAGTAATTTTCTTGTAGTTTTTTGATGTTGCAATGAAATAATTGACTATTTTGTGGCATTGAGGAAAGGTGATTGCTTTCATCTGACATACAATATTAGTTTACAATTTGCATTTGGCAAAAAAAAAAGTTTTCTTTTTAAATGGAAAAAGTGAAAATAGCATTTACGTTTCACCCTTAGACTGGCAGCAGTGAGAAACTGCCAGGGGAGGGTGGGAATGGGATTGACAGTAGTGGGAAACTGTAAGGGGTGGGAGTGGCACACCTCATCAACAAGGGTACCTGCATAGTGAACATTTGTATGCCTAAACCTGAATTGTACCCCACATACTTAAAAATTAAATGGGCAACCCCCTCGGGTCCTCTCCCACTGTAGGAGCTTCTCTGTCCCTAATAAATCCTGCTTTCTAAAAAAAAAATAAATGTCAATAGTCGAAATCTGACTGGGGAGCAGGGGGCACACCTCACCAACAGGGGTACCTGCACAATGAATGTTTGCATAACCAACGCTGAATTGTACCCCACAATTTGAAAATAAAAAAAATTAAAATTAAATAAATTAAAAAATAAATAAATGAATTTCAACCTTAAAGAAATACATTTAGGTGGCCAGAACATTTATACACTTCATAAGTCTGATACAATTCAAAACTACTGCTTAAGCCATGAGTTACTGAAAAAGGAAAACCAACAAAGTTATGTTATTATTCAATATTTCTACTAATTTATTATATTTACAGTTTACAGTATTTCTATCCTTTCTGTATTTGTTTAAAACCCCAGTGTGTGTGTGTTGATGTATAATAGCAAAATGATTGAACATAATGCTGGGTTCACACATATTTTTATTAAAAACACCATTGTTCCGGTCTTGACCGTTAGTGACATTTGAATCAGTAAGTGTCAAGTGTGACCTTTACTATTTTTAGCTATTAGAATTTGTTTTTAAGAAACTTGCAGAAAAATCCAAGTTTGTTTTTATTCCATTCCACTGAAAGATGAAAGCTTGTTGTAATGATTAAGGATTATAATCCATGATTTTATGAGATTTTTGTTGCGAATGATAGTTTTTTAACAAAACTTATTTTATCAAGTTATTTTTAATATACTGTACTGCCAGTCAGGGAGCATATTCATATCTAAGAATTGTCATAATTGCTCCTCATATTTTCTTTCTTTCTTTTTTGCTTTATAAGTTCTTTAGATGCTATATTTAAGTTCAGTGAACTTTTCAAGCATTCTGTGAAGTTATGAATACATTGGTACTTTGACCAGGCCTGCCAAAATGTAGGTGTGAAATGAGACATATTATTGTACAATATTGAAAGAAGTAAGGGAGAAATTAAAAGGCTTCAACCTATATTCTAAATACCATCACCGTTTTTACAGCACTGTCCTTATGAAAATTACTGTTATCCACAAGAGAAATGGAACATAGTATTTCATTGTAATCCTAATATGCTTAATGGCAACTTCTGATATGCATGTACAAAATTCAGCAACCAGTGGGCTAGCACTGAGAATCCTGTGACTCAGAACAAGTATGTTTCATGGGTCCTATACTTAGTAAGTTAGGGGCTAGAAAGAAAGCATCAGGAAAAAAAAAGATCTAAACTCTTGAATTCTAAAATGTGAGATAGGGTTTTTAAAAACAGACAATAGTAGTAATTGACTACAGAAGGAGAGTTTTGAGCTGTGTTAGGAGTTAAGGAGGACTTGCCTTGGTGAAGAAGCCTTTGATGAGTTAAGATATCAAAGTAAAAGATCCCTTTAAAGGGTAGTTGAGAGGGTAGTCTAGTTTGGTTTAATGGACAGACATGTAGACATATATATATATGTCTATCCAACATATATATATATATATATTTATGGTTGGATAAGCAAGCCTGGGCCAAAATGTGGAGTATTTTAAATGCTGGTATATGTTTAGTTTCATTCAGGACGCTATAAAAAGCTACCACTGTAAGTTATTGAGCAAAACACAAGATTAGTACCCTTGATGTGGCTGAGAATCTAGTTTCTAGCATAACTAATAAAAAAGTCAGAGAATAAAGACATTTTCCAAAATTCAGGACCAAAAACAGAAACTTAAGACATATAATTTTGTTATCCAAAAAATAATTTTCTCCCCTTCAACGTTATTCCTACACCAGTTCTTCAAGCTATGTGAAGGTATATCATTTCGCTTTAATTCTTTGGATTACTCTTTAAATCTGTAAAATACTGTATTATTTGTAGACATGTTAAATTATCAGGGATTAAATGATTAACTTTTTACCTTCTACACGTTCTATTGTACCATTTTCTAGGGTTGTCTTCCTCTTGTGTTGATGTTTGATATGAAGGAAGAAATTGAAGTAGATCCACAATTCATTGCACAATTGATGGAACAACTCGATGTCTTCATCAGTATTAAACCAAAGCCCAAACAGCCGAGCAAGGTTGGTTCCTCATCTGGACCCAGAGTATCATGTATTATAACATAATCTAGACAGTTTTATTTTGCATACAAGTGTGTATTTGCATATACATGAAACTAGCACTCTATGTAGGTTGAATATCCCTAATCTAAAAATCGGAAATGCTCCTAAATCTGAAATTTTTTTGAGCACAAATGTGACACTCAAAGGAAATGCTCATCGGAGCATTTTGGATTTTGGATTTTGGGATTAGGAATGTTCAATTGGTACAAATATTCCATAATTCAAAAAAATCCAAATCATAAAACATTTCTGGTCCCAAACATTTCAGACAGGAGACAAACAACCTGTATAATATACCTGTCATTATGTAGTTAGTTATCTAATGTAAATTTGTAACAATATTCATTATGAATTATCACTTTCTTTATGTATATGTTGGTTTTTTAGAGCCCATTTATAGCAACCATTATTTTTCTGTAAATATACGAGATAGAAAGAAAAGCATTTTTTCTTGATTTGGAATCTGGTAACTTTAAGCTTTACTAAATTACCAGAGATTCAATAAGGTTACTTATGTGTTACATGTAAATGTGTGTGTGTGTGTGTGTGTGTGTGTGTGTGTGTGTATACATATCCAATGTAAGTTTTTTAAAAATACGTATTAACTATAGGCCAGCCATGATGTTAGCCTTGGATATGGAAAGAATAGGTGCCCATGCTTTTTAGTAAATACTTTAAATACTGAATTGTTCCCAGTTCAGCCTTCTTGGAACTCCTTCTCTTTAAGATGATGTAAAATTTCAGTAATTACAGTAAAAATGTAACGGAATAAATATTTTATTAAGTGCTAGTGAGAATGAGGAAAGAGGAATTATTCTACACTAATAGTGTTGTGTAAATTGGCACAACCACTTTGAAGAGCAATTTGGGACCATCTTAAATCACTCTGAAAATACTGACACCCTACTGACAGCCATTCTACTTCTGGATACACTCTGACGCCTTTGTACCAGGAGTCAACACAAGAATGGTGTTGAGTAAGATAAGGATATTTCATAATAATATGTACTAAATGGTAGCGTTTATGTGTCTAAATTTTTTTAAATGAAAAGCATTGTCTGAAAGAATGCACTTGAAAGTAATGATTTGCCTTTAGAGCTGTAGGAAGGAAAATGGAACCAAGAAAGTAGATAAGGGGAAGTTTCAATTTCTTTAACAAAAATCAGAAAGAAAAAAAAACAAGCTAAATTCTGGACATTTGGTACACAGATGTTATATTAATCTTGGTTTTCTATGAGTTTTTTTAAAAATATGCAAAATAAAAAGATTTATAAAATGTAACTGTTACATTTATGGAAAGTTTAGAAAAATAAAATAAAAAATAATTCCTGAATGAGTTGAGTTTCCTAGCATGTACTAGTAGTTAAAACACCAGTCATGCCTTCTATTTTTTAAATTATAAACTATACATATTGCCATAGGTATAGAATGATGTAAGTATAATATGTATTATATATAATTGTGTGTATGTGTAAATAATGTGGTGTTCACTGTTCAACTGAGGAAAAACAATCATGCCATCTCCAAAAGAACACATTAAAGGAAAAGATAGCATTGATTGTAAGTGAACTTGATAAATGTGTTTAAAGTTAGAGAACAGGACATTAATTTTATGTACTGTGAAGCTTTATGCTTGACTAATTTGAGTTGACTGGAATCACTGTAGATACCAAGACTAGAAGATAAGACAGAAGTGACATTAGAGGACTTATGCATATGAAGTTGGACAAGCACAAGAAGAAATCCAGAAGTTCAGTATGAACAGAGATCAGGGGAGAATAGATTGTAGCTAAGGACTCCAAAGGCTTGCAGCATTCCAGAGCCATCTAGCTGGTCCCCATTCAAAGGCTGCTCTCACATCTATCTCAGCCACAAATTTGTTTTACTGTCCATTGGAGCTTTCCCCCTTAGGCTCACATTTTCAATTTTCTAGATGAATCCATGGAGGGGGAGCAAAGATTTATTATTTAGAAAAATTTTTTATTATAAGCTTTTCCATGGATTGGTCATCAGTGGGGCACAGTGGTAACTCCAGGTCTATTAGTTAACTAAGTATACCATGGATGTCAAACATAAGTGACAGCTATTACACAGTCTATATAGGTGGTGCTAAGTTTGATTTGATTTATAAAGATAAGAGGAGAAAACGTTAGTGTTAAGATGAGAAGCTGCAAAAAAGAATGGGCTGTGGTATTGGACCTGAGTGTCCATCCTCTCCCTGCCCCCTGCCCCCCCTTCCCCCCACAGTTGTGCCATGACCTTGGCTAAGCCCCTTAACTTCACTGAATGCAAATAAAGATTCTCACCCTATAAGGTTTTACTGAGAATTGGAACGTATGTACAGCATCTGTCACAGCTCCTAGAATACAGGACATGCCCAGTAAATGGTAACTAACACTTTAGGGTCTTACCAGAAGGAGTAAACTTAAGAAATAAGTGTTTCGAATTTGAGCTGATTTTAAAGCACCATTAATATGTCTGCTGAGTGGAATTCTTATTAGCACATTTGTTTTTCCACTTCCCTTCCCCTCCCCCATCCATTGTAGACGACTCGCATGTCACTTTTTTCCCCCATTATGTGTTTTCATAGTCTGTGATTGTGAAAAGTGTTGAGCGAAATGCCTTAAATATGTATGAAGCAAGGAAATGTCTCCTCGGACTTGAAAGCAGTGGGGTTACCATAGCAACCAGTCCACCCCCAGCATCGTGCCCTGCCGGCCTGGCATGTCCCAGCCTGGATATCTTAGCTTCAGCAGGCCTCGGACTCACTGGACTAGGTATAACATTTATTATTACAGTGCTTCTCAGTCACTGGGGAAATGCTTATCTGGTTCCCTTTCTTTCTATCGTTTGGGTCTACATTTAAAGGCTATTTTATTCTTCTTCAGTCCCTAAGATCAGGAGAAAAGCAACAAAACTTGAATCAATCTATTCTGAGTTTTTTGTTAGACTCTGTGGGTTTCCATTATCCAGATTCTTCCCATGCTGGCATAAATAATCAAGGTCTGACTATTTTATTTCCAGTGGCTGTGTTTGTTCTCCTAAATTAAGAATGCCATTGTGATTGAAGTGTGCAGGCTGACTATAATTTATGTGTTTGTTCTTTCTTGCATTCACAATATTGCCATCAGTCCCTAGAGATAAAGATTATCCTGTTTGCTTTTCAAAAAGTAATTGCAGATCTGTGTGAGGGCTGGGGAGAGGGGGAGGTTAAAACAAGCAGAACCCCCACTCCAGAGACTGGGCCCACCTCACCCAGATACAAAAGGAAATCTAACCTGTGGCCAGACCTGTGTTTATATCTAAGGCAAGGATTAGAAAAATGAACAAACAACACCATTTCGGTGCTTTAGTTCTTTAAGAAAGTAGGGTGAACCCTTAGTGGTCATGGTGACATTTATGGCCTTGTTTTTGGATTGTCATCTTAGAGGCTGAAGTTAGTTGTTCTGCAACAATCATGCCTAGGCTCACTACTTTCTTGCACATTTCTCAGTTGCCTTTATTTTAGTTAATGCTATAATCTTGTCAAATCATTCTGCCTCATTTGGTGTCGGTTTAAGACAGAACAAAAAAAATACTCTCTGCAGTCTTTAAAAAATTGCTGCTTTGAATTTTTAAAAATATATTTATAATATGATTGAAATTCCAAGTAGCCCTGCGTAAACATCATTAATGAAGGATTTTTTTTTCTTGATGCCTAATTTACTAAATTTGTTTGTTCCACTTGGACCTGAACAGAGTCATCATAACAAAGCAATGCCTATGAGACATAAAATGCTAGTTAGGTGACTTAGCAGCAACCGGGTTCATCTTGCACTAAACAGAAAATAAGTGAGCAAAGATTCAGAGTTACTGATTTTTTTAGAATACAAGGGTGGGACCTCCTCCCCCCAAAAAAACTGAATTATTTTTTAGAGGGCAGGCCCCTTGTAGTACAGTTTATCCCTGCTAGGTAAGTGTTCCAGGAACCCATCAGCATCAGTGTACCAGCTAGTGTTGTTGTGAGAGGCTGCATTCAGCTCCAGTGGTTTTTTGTTTTTTGGGGTTTTTTTTTAGATTCTTTCAACACCTTTGTCCATTTCATGATGGATGATTTACAAGCGCACCAGCTCATACCATGCTGAGTGTTCAGCAGTTTTTGAACAAAAACGGCACGAACCCCATGCTCCACCCTCCCTAGTCACCTGATCTCACCCCAGGTGACTTTTTTTGTGTGTTTCCCTGATGAAAAATGTCATCAAAGGGGTACATCTTGCTGATGTGGAAGAGGCGAGATAGGAAACAGCAGAAGCTCTAAAAAGCATCAAAATTGACGATTTCATAAATTATTTTGAACAGTGGAGAAAGCATCTCAATAGGTATATTGCCTCAAACGTGGTGTACTTTGAAGGTGACTGAAGATTAAATATGGAAGAATAAATACACAAATTTTTAATGAATAAATTCCAGCTTTGGGGTTTCCCCCTCCTATATTCATGGCGATATCTATCCTATAATACTTAATGTTTTAGATGTATTCCTGGAAACTTGTATACAAATCCACATTTTATTTTAGAACATGTATGAAGTTTCATTACTCAAATCAAGCACTGAATTATTGGAACAAATTTTTCTTTTCTGAGAAAAGTTTTCATCATTGAGATGGAGCCCAAAGGAGCCATGTTTGTGTTTTGACATACATTTAAGAACAGTTTCAAGGAGCTCAGCTTATCTGTAAGTAGGCCAAATAGATCCATCCTTACCACAGGAAAAAACTCCCTAGTCAGTGCTAAATGTGATTGGCTTTAAAAGGGCTTGTTCAGAAGCAAATGACAAGTGAGCTATGCAGAGAAATAAATATGAGTCTCCACTTGAGCAGAACCTTGTTTATCCCAGCTAGCTGGCATGAATGCAAAGCAGCTGGTAGTGCTCAAGGACCCTACTGCCTGCCTCATCTGGGCACACCTATCTTCCATTTTCCGATAGCCTCTGTTTGTGGATAAGCTAATTCCTGTTGGAGTTATACAGTGCAATATTCCGTGTGAATATTTGAAGGAAACTCTATCACCCGCGTTTTATATTTAGAAGATATCAGATTACATCAGTGTACATTCCAAATGGCAATATTGGTGCCATCTCTGTTTTTAAAATCTTGAATTTCTGTATATTGACTTTACTTTCACTTATTACAGGTCTTTTGGGACCCACCACCTTATCTCTAAACACTTCGACAACCCCAAACTCACTCCTGAATGCTCTCAATAGCTCGGTCAGTCCTTTGCAAAGTCCAAGTTCCGGCACGCCCAGTCCCACATTATGGGCACCCCCACTTGCTAGTACTTCAAGTGCCACAGGTCAGTATCATTTAAGTATAATTAAAGGCGTTGTATTCTTAGGTATTATCTAGGTTTAAAATGAAACTTATTGACAGCTCAGTTTCATTAGGGAAAACTATGGTTCAAAGTATACTCCAGCCAAGCAAAAAATTCTATTATGTGTAAATTAGTTAAAATGAAGCACAGCAAAGCAATGAGTTTTTTGTACAAGTGATACAAAATGTGATAAGCAGATTTGGAAAAAGAATATTATGTGCAAGGGAGTTGCAGAAAAGGCAGTTGCGGAAAAGGCAGGTGATGATTACTGACCTGGTTACTGGTAGGTTCTAGTTGGACTAACTTTCTTGGTCATCATGTCCACATGCTCCCCCAGCTAGTCTCCTTACTGCACAATGAAGGTCTTGGATTAAATATTCTCAACAGTGTTACTCTATTTTAACACTCTTTTGTGTTTTTTTAGTAATGTTAAACCTATTTACGGACAGGTTTCAAGACTGATTTTTTTTTTAATTTGCAGCAAAGAAAATGGCATCTTTATTGTTATTGAAAATAACAGTTGTTGACTGAGTTTTTCCTGTGTAACATTTGTCTTTGTGAAATGTCTTTATAGGTTTTTCTGCTATACCACACCTTATGATTCCATCTACCGCCCAGGCAACATTAACCAATATTTTGCTTTCTGGAGTGCCCACCTATGGGCACACAGCTCCATCTCCCCCTCCTGGCTTGACTCCTGTTGATGTCCACATCAACAGTATGCAGACAGAAGGCAAAAAAATCTCTGCTGCTTTAAATGGACACACACAGGTAACATCCTTCTGCTAGAACAGTATGATCTATGCTGTTTATAAGAGATAAGGCACTGGTAATGTTTAAACCTTCACCTGAAATGAATTTTAAATTGTAAAATTATGACCATATCTGTATTTTCTATTCTTATTTCAGTCTCCGAATATAAAATATGGTGCAATATCCACTTCATCACTTGGAGAAAAAGTGCTGAGCGCGAATCACAATGACCCATCCATCCAGACCACTGGTTCTGAGCAGGCATCCCCCAAGTCAAGCCCCACAGAAGGTCAGGAACTATATCTTTCCTTCTGAAATTGTCTCCTTTCTTACTTGGATAGCAAGGGGGTGTAGAGCATCTCTGCAGTGATTTTGAATTGGTTTTGCTAGCCATCTATGACTCACCCTACCTCAACTATGTGGAAAGACAACATCTTGAGTAAAATTTCAAATATCATGGTGAAAGATGAACTGAAAAGTGCTCTTTGCAGAATGAATCACTTTCCCATTATATTGTAACATCCTAAATTAAAGGTAATTTTGTAGCAGGAAAGCCTCAAATTACTGAATTTGAATAAATATATATACATTTGATATATATTATCATATATATATATTCATTCCTCACTCTAAGTGTCTTTTTATAACCCATTACCCCCAAAAGTCTTTAAAAAGTATATGAGAGTATTCTCTTCAAATTGAGTTTTTGGACAGTATGAATTTGTTAAGGTGTCCTCTTTGCAGATGAAAGCTATTATACCTGTGTTAGGTTAAACATGTCTCCAAACAGTTGGATTCTAACTTATTTCCTTTGCAGGCAACTGTCAATTATAAGGTGATGCTGTTTAAATGTTTCACTTTTTTACTTCCCCTCTGCAGGTTGTAATGATGCTTTTGTGGAAGTGGGCATGCCTCGAAGTCCTTCCCATTCTGGGAATGCTGGTGACTTGAAACAGATGATGGGTCCCTCTAAGGTTTCCTGTGCCAAGAGGCAGACAGTAGAACTATTGCAAGGCACGAAAAACTCACACTTACAGTATGTATTTTAATCTTTAAAGTCCTTGATCCTTTGAAAGAAAATGCACAACAGGCTGAATTTGTCTTAAACTTGTTAATACTCTTTGGTTCATCAGGTTTGATCTCATGGATGGGCTTTTTCACTTTATCTTTTTAAAAGATTTTATTAAGAAATAAAATCAGATAATTTTCACCCTTTACTGTCTTCTTCCCCACTTAGTTGATTGGATTTAAATCTGTGTCCTCTAAACCATTGCTCTGAAACTTTAGCATCCCCTCTGCTGTTCAGTAATCAGCAGGGCTATTTTTATTCTTCAATTATTGCTGCTGGAAATTTCCACTGTGTATTCTTCATTTGGCTTTACATTTCTTAAACTAAATGGCTTCTTTTTTTTTTCCAAGTTAGTTAATTGTGAACTTTTTCATAGATCTTAACAGTATCCTGATTTGTATTTGTTCCAAATCACATTGAATATAAATACACAAATCATATTAAATATAACTCCCCTTACCATAACACAGTTACAAGTATGGCAGCCTTACTCTGCTTCCTTTTTCTGTTTACTTTGGACAATCTCCACAATGAAAGATTTTGCTCCCACGTACCCCATCCTATACCTGATTTCCTCTACTGTCTTAATAGTTCCTTAGATAGCCATACAGTGTCTTCTGCAAAGATTAACATATATATTTTTATTTTCCCTCCTTTTTTTTCTTTTTGAGTCAAAGCCTCACTCTGTTACCCAGTCTGGAGTGCAGTGGCGCAGTGGCATGCTCAGTTACTGCAACCTCGACCTGCTGGGCTCAGGCAATCCTTCTGCCTCAGTCTTCCAAGTAGCTGGTACTATAGGCATGTGCTACCATGCCCAGCTAATTTTGTTTGTATTTATTATACAGACAAGACAAGATCTTGCCAAGTTACCCAGGCTGGTCTTGAACACTTGGGCTCAGGGAGTCTGCTCGGCTCTGCCTCACAAAGTGCTGGGATTATAGGCATGAGTCACTGTACCCAGCTTTCCCTACCTATTAAAATCTACTTTGCTTTCTAAACTGTTTAATCATTATTATCCTCATTTGGTCCAATTCTACTTTATCTGTGCTTTTCTTTATGTGGCTATGTTTCTTCAAATTAATATTATGTAGTACAAATTGGATAAGTGATTTTGCTTTCATTTAACTATTGAGGCATTTGAAGTACACACTTACTCCTTTTATCATTGAATATGTTCTGAACCTTCTCATCATATTCACCTGGATTGAGCTGCAACCTCTGGAATGATCTCCCCACCTCCAGTCTCTCTGCAGCTTGCTCTGTCCCTTATTTTGCTCCAGTAATTTTTTTTTTCAAACAAGAGTCTGAATTTGTCACATTCTGGCTTAAAGACCACGCTTCCTTTCCTTTCCTTTCCTTATGCTCTTCCCTCCAAGTTGCTGTTCTGGCCTTTGGCTCCTGTGAACTTGCAGATGCCCTTCAGTTTCCAGTTTAAATGTCCTCTGTGAAGTCTCTATCAGCTTTTGTCAAGCATAGCTCATTGTTCCTCATTCTGTATCGCATTAATTCTTTCCAAATTCCCCTGACATAACAACCAAATAGTTGAATGAATAAAATCATGAATGAATGAACAAATTAGCTCTTTGATTGATATTGCGTATCCCTATTTTATTTGAGTGTAGTGTGCAGTTAGACTTGAACTTGAGGTGCATGGACTCTGCATGTATTGTGTATTGTAATTCATTTCATTACTGTCCATTGTAAGAAGTATTTTAATGCTCAGGCTTTGGAGAATATTTCTAATTTATCTGCTACCTTTATTTAATACCAATAACATGTGTATATTTCACACACATGAATTGCATCATCTGCAATCCTTCAGATTGACTGTATCTCTGTTTAAGCATGGCATGCATTGATATTTCCTTAATGTATAAAAAGTAGAAATCTTGTCTGTACATCTCTTCCATCTATGTCATATGCCATATACCATGTAGGCTATGTTTTGTGTATGTGAATGTATCATGAATAGTTTCAAGCTCCAGGCCTAGAGTCAGAATGCCTCAAATATTAGCTCTCCTATTTGTATTACAAGTATGACCTTGGGCAGAGTACTTCCACCTTCTGTAAGGTGGGGATGACAATAGTACCTACATCATTGCATTGTTGTGAAGATTAAATGTGATAATACATGTTAATAGCTGATGATGGTAAGCATGCATAGTAAATGTGGCAGATGGGAAACATTCAGTATATTTGTATATATAGTAGAATGTTAAATTCCAAACTATGTTTCACAGCAGCACTGACAGGTTGCTCTCAGACCCTGAACTGAGTGCTTCAGAAAGCCCTTTGGCTGACAAGAAAGCCCCAGGGAGTGAGCGTGCTGCAGAGAGGGCAGCAGCTGCCCAGCACAACTCCGAAAGGGCCCACCTTGCCCCTCGGCCATCATACGTCAACATGCAGGTAACAGTAATAAAATAGGAAAGTCATTCATCTGTACGGTGCTTGAGTGGGGTATGGAGAATCAGTGAGTGTTTGCAGTACTACAGAAATTAAGTTTTCCTTCTGTGCTCTGTTCAAAATGCAATTTAAATATGCTGTAGTTAGTTTGCTATAAACATTAAAATTGAAATGCAGGATTTAGCTTAAGTGAGAAGAATTCTTTAAAATATATTTAAAATAGTGCAAAAAGATATGTGTCACTATGTCTTATGCAAATAACATTATTCATCTGTTACTTGAAAAAATGTTAGATGAATGTGCAAAATTGTATTTATAAGTATTACTGCCTCATGACATAGTCTTGAATAAATAGATGTAATATTCTTCTGTCTGAAATGGAGGTGATAAATTTGGTGTCATTTAAAGATAGTTATGAAAATAATGTGAAATTTTAGTTCTTTGAAAGTATATGTTGAATATTATTGATGATTATATTAATCCATAGATTTTAATGATTATTTTAAACAACTTCCTCAACAGGGACTTTCTCTATATCCATTTTCAAAGTACTAGGCTAATTACTCAAAGTAGACTATCGACTATGAAATTGAGAAATCTGATTCCCATATAGATTACAACATGAAAGATAAGGATTCTGTGTTTTCCACTTCTCATTTTGGAACCAGAATCACTAGGTAGACTTACCTATTTCATAGGAAGAGATTGATGACCCTCAACTCCAAAAAAATAGGGAAAATGTTTCACAGAAATCTTAGAAATGAAAAAGCTGTCTTTGATATCTCGAATTAATTCGTGGAGCTAAATTACACTACTCTAATTTCAGTGCAATCTATAATTCAGTCCTCCTTCTCTGGTTTTTAATCCTTTGCATTTAAACATCTTTGTAAGTTTCTAGTTAGTTGTTTTTACAAAAGCTATGGCCTTTATAATGTGTCAGTGCTTAAAAAAAGGACATTTATTACATTTTCTCTGGCGGGTTTGTTTTCAGTTAATATGAATTAAAACTCTTCCACTGAAGAAATACAAAGTCCTCTTTATAAACCTTTATGGATTTTGTTTGTCTTGTGTTCTTGTCATCTTTTCCATCGGATTTTTACCTTCAGTGAATCAATTTCATGCTTCTTTCTCTTAGGATGGATGAGAATGTTCTTGATGACAATTTTAACTTAAGTAGATGCATTTATGCTATTAATGAATAGCTGTCTCTTAAAATCACTAAGAAATCAATAATAATAGTCACTGAGCATTGACAGGGAGGAAGACTGAGGACTTCCCTGACTTCCTTGACTGAAAATGATCTCTGTCTCCTGATAGCTCTTGGAGTGCTGAATCTCTAGCTCCCTCTTCATGCTTATCTCACTTCCTAATTTATTTTATAGCTATTTCTCTTTCTCAATCTTCCTGAGACTGTAAGTCACTGAGGTTATAGATTATTTCTGATTCATTGTTGTATTCTTCCACAAAGCTCAGCAAGGTCTCCTTAACCATTAAACACTAAATAACTGTTTATTGAGTAAGTGAATTTAGGTTCTCCTCACACCTTGCCCTTAGACATTACTAATAAAAAGTTGATTTTAAAAATATTAGACCTAGGATTTCAAAATCATCATCAAACTGTGTTATGTAAAAGCTGGCTGTCCTGATTGACTGCTATGTTTTTAGTTATCATGTATCCTTGTTTGTCTGAGACAGACCCTGTTTATTTTTATTATTCAGGTCTAATTATCATTCATAGCACATTTCATTCGGAAGTATCCTGTTTCAGACCATAAGATATGGGCAATTTGCATAGGATAGTGTAATCTTCCTTGGAAAAAGGTTAAAGAACTCTTGTCAGTTGATGCTTGACCCTCCTGATAGGCCTTTAAGACACACTTAAATCAACTCTTGGCTAGTTTCTATATTGGAGAGTTCATAACACTTAGAAAGCATTTGATATGCAACTATATCTGCACTACTTTCTTCCAAATGACCCCTCTTGGTCTCTACATAGATCTGGCTGCATCATAGTTACTCATTCCATGTTAAGGAAAAGAATGAATTGTGCCATCCTAGCACAACGGAAAGCAACTAGGTTTAATTGTATTGATTGCTTAATGTTATTACAGATTAGATCTAGACATTTGCCATTTACTTCAATTCAAAAGCAAAGACTATACCAATTAAGCTAAATAACTTTTTAAGTTGTCTTGACTTCATACTACTTCAGACCACATTTACCTAAGTGAAGAGAGGATTTTTAGACACAAAAGAGGCCGATAGATACCTGATGGCATTCTGGTAGTGTATTATTGAGAAATTTAGCATAACTATACTTAGGTTATTCACTATGCTCTTGGCCTGTATCACTATAGATATTGGCCTCGGTGTGCGTATATTTATAATAAATAGGGATTTTTTTTCTTATTGAGGGAAAAATTCTTACTCTTGTCACTGCCATGACTTAAAACCAGAAGTAGTAATTTATTATTCTAATTAATTAGTTTTGAAAGCATGTTTAAACTTAACAGACTTACATTGGATTTCTGCCACATTATGGTGCACAGCTTAGAATATTTCTCAGGCAGATTCATGGGACACAGTCAAAACCTTTGTTCTTTCATTGTAGAGTGTGACATTTGGAGAGACTGGCAATAAAGATACTTTCTTTCTGTTTTATTTTCAGGCATTTGACTATGAACAAAAAAAACTACTAGCAACAAAAGGTATATGATACACTAATGATTTACACTTTGATTGTTTTTTAGTACACTCATGAATGTTTTTGACTACTCGTGGTGAATTGAGAAATTGGACATTCATAAAAAGAAACCCAGAATATTTGGGTGCAAGTTGCACAAATTCTGCTGAGGTTGAACATATTTTGTTGAATAGGTTAACATTAGATAAGTTAAGAAATCATGTAGCATTTTTTCATTTACCATTACTTTGGGTAAAATGTTTTATTAAAATATCTTTATGCCTTTGTGTTACAAAATAAGTCAATGATAATTTCTTCACATATAGCAAAGAAACAGAGCTCATCATCATTATTTTATTTAAGAATTAAACTTACCAAGCATTTGTTTTATATTCTCTTTTCCAAAGCTATGTTAAAAAAACCAGTGGTGACAGAGGTCAGAACACCCACAAATACCTGGAGTGGCCTCGGGTTTTCTAAATCCATGCCAGCTGAAACTATCAAGGAGTTGAGAAGGGCCAATCATGTGTCCTACAAGCCCACAATGACAACCACTTACGAGGTTTGTAGAGTCTTGCCTTACCCATTCTTTCTGTCCTCTCAGCAAAAGAGAACAATCATCACTCCCCCCCCCCCGCTTATTCTTTATGTACATAAGGGAAAATGATTAGTGGTAACTTGTTTTTGTTTCTAGTACTGTAAACTTACTATTATCAAGTTGATGCTTTATTGTATATTATGGTCTCTTGTCTGTCCTCTCTCAGAGTTGTTGATCAGCTGTTAAATGATGTAAATTTGGATGTGTGTTTTTATTGGGGGTGGAGTGTGTCATAAATGATAGAGTATGGCCGAGATTAATCAAAGGGCAGATGTAATATTTTACAAAATTGTATAGAAAATGCTTTTTCCAAGGATATCACTAGCAAGGCCTCCATAGGGGGAAAAGGCAAATATTCAACAAAAACAGGTTTTCAGATATGAGTTAAAAATTCAGTGTGTTCAGATGTGCCAAGAACACAGCAGGAAGTATCTTAAACAAGAGCTCCAAAATTTTTATGTTTCCCAGATGTTGGCTGCCTGCTCAGGGTGAGACTGGGAACCTGGCATTCCCACCACATGGAGGAGAGATCCAGAGTTCCATTCTCCTCAGCTAGGCGACACGTGACTCACCAAGCAGGCCTTTTCCATTTGAGAGTATCAGATTTTGACTCTGAGCCTTCGACAGTGGAGGTGGGGCTGGAGAGTCTGAGCACACACATACACTCACAGTCCTGGGAGACTGTGCAAACCCACACATGGATGAAAACATTTCAAAATCAAACTGTTCAACAAGAGAACACACTGTAGGCTGAAAAAGCAAGTACTGGTTAAGGATTTCATAATTGTGAGTCTACTAACTAGCATTTGTGTTTTGACCTTCTATTTTCCACTCATTTTCTTTGTAATAAATTAGGCTATGGATGAAAGGCAAAAACAAACATGCTGTTTCTCTCATTGTCTCTTTGAGTAAGTTGAAAATAAAATACTCCTGAAAAACTAAAAAGAATAGTCTCTTTCTGAATTTTATTGTCAGAATTATAGTAGCAACCAGGCAGCCTGTATTTAAAGGTTGAAGTTACTTTCACCAGCAAGAATGTAGGAACCATTATGACAAATTTGAGACTCCAAGAGGTGTACTCTTCTTTCTACCATTATAGCACTGAGAGGAAATAAACATCTCTTTTTGCTAGTGGAAACCGTAAAACTGCTATGCTAATTCTTAGATTTCCTTTGTTTGTTTTTTAAAGATGTAGGGAACAATTCAGGATTAGGTATACAAGTGGTCATTGTACAGGTAAAGTCTGGGCCTCCCTTTGGTCCCCAATTCACCTAGTTTGAGATCAGGTTGATGTTATATGTCCCCTTCCCTCCCCTGGCAGTTTCCAGCTACTGCCAATCCCTTTCTTATAATATTATGATAAATTTTCAGGGTCTGCTTATGAGTGGCAACATGTAGTACTCAGTTATTTGTTTCTGTGATGGATCACTGAGTATTATAGACTCTAAATCCATCCAAATTGCTGTGAAGTCCATAATTTTAATCCTTTATGGCTATCTAATATTCCATTGTGTATATATACTTACTTTTTTAAAAAATCCAGTTCACTTTTGGTGAGCAGCACAGTTGGTTCCATGGTAGAAAATAGTGTGGCATTTCCTTAAAAATCTAAAATTCGACCTTCCATATGACCCAGCAATCCCCCTTCCGGAAATATACCCAGAGGAACTCAAATTATTCTATACAAAAAGATACCTGCACATGCATGTTTATTGCAGCATTATCCATAATTCTTAGACTTTCAACTGATGCATCCCGTGGTTGTCCCTTCCACTCACCCTTGCTTTAGGTATTGATTATGTATCTGTAGTTTCAGAGATGAAATATTAACTTTAGAAATGTTTATTCAGTTCTGCTGTCTATGGCCAACTGTATGACAAGTTGCAAATGATGATCATTTCGGTAATGGAGTTGTCAAGTACAGGGACCATGGGGTCTGATAGTCACCACTAACCAGATATATAGCTTTGGTGTGTGACTTCACTTCTCCGAGCCTGTTTTTTCATTTGGGTTGAACTGAGGAGAGGATCAAAGAGGGCATCCAGTGCTTGCCACGGGGCACTGTAAGTTTATAGTGATACTGACCAGCTAGTATTTTTTCCAGTGGAGAACTTTACCTTGAGGAAAACTGAAGGCCTGCTGAAAGATGAGATTGTGTATATAAATGTTCATTGGTGGAGGTAATTCTGCACATTCAAGCTATTTATGCTTTTTATATCCAAATGAATACCTTAGGGTATTATATGAACACATACTATATTAGTAATAATTATCTTAGATCACATTCATTCAGTTCTTTGTGCTTTATAAGGTACACTTTCATCCACAAGTTTATTCAGTGGATATGAATTCAAGTTTATCCACAAACTGCCAGTGAGGAAAGAGGGACCCAGAATGGTTAAGTATCTCTTAGTTAAGGTCATAGTAAGTGTCAGAGAAAGGACTTGAGTTCATTTTACAGAATATCCTATATGCCTTTTCCTAATGACTAAACCCGGGTGGGTCCATAGCAGATGGTGATATATAATTGACCTAGAGCCCATACTTATATGGGTGTAAGAAGTACTTGGAGAGCTTGGTAAAGATGCACATTCTTTCTCTAGGATCTCATTCAGCAGATAGGAAGTGAGAACTAGGTATCTAGCTGCATTTTCAGCAACAACTTGGCAAAATTCTGATATAGGCATCTTTCTGTGGAGAAAATAAAAAATCTGCACTAGGGATCAGAAATGATTTTCAACTTTCCAGCACTAGAAGTAATGAAGGATCAACAGCATTGCCCACCAAGGGGCATGATGGCAGAAATGGGCATAGGACCCCAAAAGACTTTTGCTCCAGCACTTATGCCAGGATGGATAGACTACTTTCTGTGGACAGAAACGTACAGGGCTGAACCCCTTTCTGTGGCTTGCTTTGGCTGTTGCGGGCTAGCCTGCTCCACCATTCTGACTGGTACCTGGCAACCCATTCACACTGAAAGTTGGCAGGAGGGCGGGGATGGCTGCCTGGACTGGAACATGGGCATTTACCATGTAACCTGATTTTCTTCACCTTTAAATGCTGCTAATGGAAAGATAAGATTAAGCTTTTTTTTTTTTTTTCTTTTATTATGTACTAAGTTCTCCTTGGTGTGTAGGACTTATATTTTTCCTTATGTATCCCAAATGCTTTGAGATGTAGGGAAAGGACCCCTCAGATAGCAGTATCTGATTTTTTAGAGCAATTGCTACCCATACATATGCCTTTGCCTTTATTTTGCCATTGCTCAGAAGGACTAAAACAGGGCAGTCAGCAAAGATTGCTTCTGTGGATTTGGATATGGAGAAGGATCTGGGGAAATGTGGAGAGGACAATTTGTATGAAAAGAGAGACCACATCTATGCTAATAGTACTAATACTTTTTAGTTGACATGTGACTAGAAACACTCTCCTCTTCCTTACTTTCCCCCTCAAAAAATAAAACCAAATGAACAAGGAGAATGCTGCTCTGTAAGAAGCATCGTACTTGGCCAGTAAGTCCTGATGGGTGATGGCAGCTCTTTCAATATGCCAGGGACCAACCAAGGGTTCCCTGCTCTAGCAAGTTGGCTTGAGGAAAGAATTGGATACTTTAAACTCTGTATTCAGTATTATCGAGAAGTAGACTTCAGCAACTTTTTTCCACTTTTAAGATAGCTTTGAGGAATTAACCCATTTTAAATCGATTCTTTAGATAAGAAGCAGGCACTTTCAAGCTTGGAAGTTTTTTTGTTTTCTCTGAGATTCAAAACTATGACCCTGTTCCCTTGATGTTATATTGACTTTCATTTGACCAAAAGTCAAACCAAAGGCTGCTTTGACATTCCATATCTTTGTCACACCAACAGAGCTACAGGAAGGGTTGGGATTTTCCTTTTCTTTTTGCCACTCATCTTTTAAAAGCATAAGTGATGACCACATATTCTAAGGGGCAGATAAAACCTGCACTGGGAATCAAGAACGGTTTTCAGCTTCTTAGTACTAAGAGTAATGAATCATCTGATCACTTTAAATCTTATAAATCTAAAAATGAAAATATTAAAGGTATCTTATTAAAAATGCAAATATTAAAGATGTTTTCATTGGAAAGGCCCTTGGTTTTTTTTTGGGGGGGGGCGGGTCTCGGAAGCCTTCATTCCCAAAAGTCAGCAAAGGCTTCCCCTAGATTTAGGGAATGAATCATTAAGACTCATTCATTAATTTCACACATATTAAGCACCCTCTGTGTTCTAGACACAATTCTGTGCGCCAGTGATACAATCTTGAATAAGAAGATTCATCTCATGAAAAAAGCTTGTTTTCTAATGGATAGAGAGAAACATAAAATAAATAAACTAGAAGGCAGCGAGTAACAAAATTCCCTGATAAATATGAAACAGAGGCTGCTTTAGGTAAGGTAGTCATAAAGCAGGCCTTACGAGCAGATGACATTCAAGCTAAAACCTAAAGGACAAGAAAAGGGCCATTGTCTTGCTAAGCTATGGTGTGACCATGTGCTCTTTGAGCTATAGTTGTTGCCGTGTTTTCTGGCTTTGGCCTCCTCCCCTGCCTTGTGGAGGTGAATCTCCTCTTTCTCTCTCTTTAATTTGCTTTCTAAATAAACTATATTTTCTAATCTAAAAATTAAAAAAAAAAAAACAAGAAAAGGCCAACCTCGTGAAGATCTAGGGAAAGAGCCAAGGTGATCAAGCTGGCATGGTCATCCTAAAGTCAGATCCAACTGGTGAGTTTGTGGAGCAGAAGGCGGGTAGAGTGGGGAGCCCTGGAGATAAGACTAGAGAGAGGCAGAGGCTCAGTTTCAGAGCACGTTAGCCAGTGGCGAGGCATGATGGAAAGTGCTAACAAGACTTCACAGAGAGGCCTGGTTTGTTCTAATTTGCATTTTAAGAAATCAACCTTGCTGTTTTATGGAAACTGGGTTATAGGGGAAGGGCAGCAAGAGCATAACCAAAATGGCCATCAAGGGGGAGTTGATGACAGTGGTGGAGATGAACAGAAGTAGGAAAATTTGGGGCATGTTTAGAGATGATGCTGATAGAATGTGCTGATGGATTGGATGTATTGAGGGAAGGAGGAATCAAGGATGAGCCTTAGAACTTTGGCTGGAACAGTGGGGTGAGTGGTAGAGTCACTTGCTGGGATTCAGGACTTTTGAGAGAGTAGTAGGTTTGAGGATAACTGGTGGGGATGGGTAATCAACAACTCTATTTCAAGCATGTTACCTTTGAGATGCCTATTAGATGGTAAAATGAAAGTGTAGGTTGGCAACTTGGTGATTCTGAATCTCAAGAGAGAAGTCAAATCTGGCAGTAGAAACTTGGGAGCCACTGCAGTCATTTTGCTTTAAACAAGCTTTAAGATTTCTTAACAAGAAAGTATACAGAGAGAAGAGAAGGGGTCTTGGGGCCAAGCCCCAGGGTAATCTGACATTTAGAAAGGAAAATAAGAGGAAGAACCTACAAAGGATGCAGTGAGCTGGGTGGAAAATCTGGATACTGGGTGCTATGATGCCCTCAAGAGGGAGGTGTTAATTTAAATAAGGGAGTGAACTATGATTGCATTGTGGCAAGATTGAACTAATTGACTTTATTGAAGTGAAGTATAAAGAATTCTCTTAGAATTACCCAATGAACATAAAACTTTGCAAATCAGAGAATCTTGACTTTAATACTCTAATACAAAGTAGGGAACTGTAATACAGTAATTAAATTATTGATGAATAAAAGGATGAATAAGTTCAGTACAAACTTTGAGATATTTCCAATTATTTTTATCTTGGTGAATTTTAAAAGGTGTAAATCATTGCAGGTCTAACGCCAGCTCTCTCTCCAGACTCCAGTTCTATCAGCTTGGAAAGTAGATTCTCCTCCCAGCACTAAATCTAGTTGTGCCTTGTCCTCACGTCTTCTTCTAGTGTTATATGAGGCAGAGAATCTTTGCTGTACCACCTGGAAGATTTGCTTTGTGGTCCCGAAAATTGGGAGGAATCTCAGCATCTACTCTTCCAAATTTTATAGGAGAGATTCTTTACAATGGAGCTCTCAGAACTATCTCTTACAAAGAAGGAAAAAGACTTTACTACAGATATTACCAAGTGACCTTGGTGGTGGAGGAAAAGGCTCTAGACAGGCACCACAGCCTCTTTCTGAAAGTCAGCCTTCATGAGCAACAGCAGAGGCAGTGATACAAGTGAATGGTGGTAGCGTCATATGGATTCTTTTCTTCTCCCACCATAAGAAACCCACCTTATTAAATATTTCTAAATCTGGCTTTGACTGTTTACAGGGCTCATCAATGTCCCTCTCACGCTCTAACAGCCGTGAGCACTTGGGAAGTGGAAGCGAGTCAGATAACTGGAGAGACCGAAATGGAATAGGACCCGCAAGTCATAGTGAATTTGCAGCTTCTATTGGCAGTCCCAAGCGTAAGCAAAACAAATCAGGTGAGCTTTGTCTTTTATTCATACTTTTAGGTATACTCAGCTTAGAATGTGCTTATTTGGTTTGGGATGATATTGAAGTATCACTGGCCTCTGTGACTTCAAGTGTTTGGTGTTATTCACATGCCACCTCTCCTGTGAAACCTCCCCTACTTCTCCCAGTGAATCATACCACTTCTCTCTCATGGCAGTTTGTGCATGCGTTCATTCTAGCAAATGCCATATTGTAGGGTAAATATCTGTCTATCCTTGTGCGATTTGGGCTCTATAAGCCAGGGACCATATTGGTTGATTCAGTACACATTTATGAAGTGTTCTTGTGCCAGGCATTCTGTTACACTGTGCCTTGTTGGTTATTTCTCCCAAATGCCTAGTGCAGTGACTGACACCTAGTAGGTAGGTGCTTAATAAATGTCTGTGGAATGAAGCATGAATGAGTAATGTACATACAAACATCCCTATGACCAAGAAAAGATAAGAATATAAGAAAGCAGTTGAGAAAAAGATGATCAAATTAGGATCTTGAACAATTGAAGAAAGACTGTCCAGTGGGTAACTACTAATGATGAAGAACAGGAATTGATGGGGTTTTTTAATTGACATGATGTAACTAAATTAACATAAACAGGAAAGAAGTTTATTTGGCAGGGAAGGGATTCTGGCTTTGAGCAAATGTAGCCGAGACTCAGCATGAGTGTAGTGTTTTGTCTATGACAGCACTATGCTTCTGGACTATATAAATAGGTGAACAGATCAGAGTTGACATTGTCATCACAAAATATGCCCCCAATGTCTTTTTTCAGGGTTTTTTTTTTTTTGACAATATTTGGAGTCCTGAAACATGTAACTTGGAGTGTTTGAAGAACACTTGAAGAAAGACAATCTAGCTGAGCATAATAGACACTCGGTAACAGCCAGTTGTTACCATCAATCAAGTTGACTGTGTTGTCAGTAGTCTCAGATTTGAAAAGAGCAATCATGGTCTTTTAAATAAGAAAACAAGCCAACTTTTTTGTTCCCAAATGCACTGTCAATAGTAGCCTGGAGACTTCCCATTAGTTACCAGCTGGAACTTCCACCATTGACAGTGTAATGGAGTTGAGACCAGCTGGTGCCAGGCCCCAGTGGAAGGGTGGAAATGATGCTCCATCGACAGCTCAAGATAAATTCCTTTAGTGCTGCTCCTTTTCTGTCTTTATCTCGTGTCCTGTTAGACCCACTGTGGGTGGAGGTGTGGGGTGTCTGGTTTATGATCAGGTACCACACAAAAGATGCAAAGAGTTGCACAGAATTAGATTGGAAATATAGTTTATTTAGAAAGTAAATGAGAATCCGGGCTTGGTGGCTCAGCCTGTAATCTCGCACCTTGGGAGGTTGAGGTGAGTGGATTGCCTGAGCCAGCAGGTTTGAGACCCGCCTGGGCAACTTGGCGAGACCTCATCTCTACGGTAAATCAAAAATGAGCCGGGCATGATAGTGCACACCTGTAGTTCCAGCTACTTGGAAGGCTGAGGCGGAAGGATCTCTGGAGCCCAGCAGTTGGAGGCTGCGGTGGCCAGGAGCAGCCACTGCACTCCAGTCTGGGTGACAGAGTGAGACTCCAACTCAAAAAAAAAGGAAGAAAGAAAGAAAGTAAATGAGAGAGAGAGATTCACCTCTTCTTTGATGAGGGCAGGTCATTTAGGTGATTGAGTGTTAGTCTCTTTCATGTCATGATGAAGAGAACAAGTAAGCACAGGTACTGACATCAGGCAGATGGGTGAACTAGTCACATGACTTGCCTTGTTGATAGGGTCTGTGTCACAAAGATTATGGAGGGTTGATTAGGTTAATTTGTTTATAAAACAAGCTGGGGAGGGGGTTGTAAGACAATTAACAGTAGCTACCTCCAAGAAATCTGTTCTGTCCTTGGCTAGTGATTAGAGGGTAAATTAAAGTGAACTGCTAGAAAAACATGACAGATCTAGGCAATGTCAAAATGAGTGCTCATTGGCTATATTGGCTCCATCTTATGTCCTTTCATTTCCCTTCAGTTAATGTTGAGTAATTAAAATGGACTATATTACTTAGTTAAATTCAAGTTTCTAATTCAGATGGAGGATTCATTAATAAAGAGAAATGATTAGTGAACCACAGTTATCTGGCTTTTGTCAGATGTTTTAAGAGTGTTGGGAGTATTTAAAAGAGGATGTAGAAACTATAAGCAGTTAATACAAAAAAAGAAGTAAAGTTATGGGCCATTATGAACATTTCTCACCAAGAACATTTTATTTTCAAACATGTTTTTAAATTTTCTAGTAATATAGCTCTATTTAACTCAACATATTACAAATATTAAAATATTAAATATATTTCTTTGAAATATGTAATCAATATAAAAAATATTTAAGATATTCTACATTTTAAAAAATTTTATACAAAGTCTTTAAAGTATTTGGTATATTTTACACTGATAGAACATTTTAATTCCCATTGGCTTCATTTCAGGTGCTCAGTAGCCACACATGGCCAGTAGCTACTGTGCTGAACAGCATAGTTTTAGGTGATTTTTCTTAACACCCTTTTCAAGGTCACCAATGTTGCAGTTTTCCATGGACATCCTTGTTTATACTAATTGCTCCAGTATAATTCTTAGTAATGCTCCTTTTACTCTCAAAAAAAGTAAATGTATCATTTGAAGGATAAATTATATAATCAGCTTTCTAGTGACTTCCATGTTGTCAAGTCTAGCAGTCACTTTAATGTGCTCATTATATACTTTGTGTCAGCTTTGATTCAGTAGCTCAGAATTCACCCATCCTTGATCTTTTGTGATGACTTTGGGGCCTCTACTTCACCTTTAATTGGTAGGTTATCTCAGGGCTCAGTATTTCAGGACTTGATTCTGAGTACTTTTTTCTACCCATTCTCCCTACAAGACAGAAAACACCTGTTTTTAAGAGAAAAAGAAACCTTATCAAGAAACTGCTTCCACTCAGGGTATGTAAAAGGACGTCTCAGCTGAGAGATGAAAATAACTGGAGAAAGTGATTAATGGCACTGAAAACCATGCAGAACAAGGGTTTCAGATTTGGCAGATGTGTGGATTCCCAGGGAAGTTTAGATAGATCTGATTGGCTTAGGCGAATGCCCTCTTCCTCCCTCACCTCTCTGAGCATCCCTCCTGAAGCCTCATCCTTGTTATAAGAAGACAGATTTTCCCAGTTGATGGTCAGGGAGGTAAAATGGCTACACAGCTCTGCTAGGATCTCCAAAGCAGGTGACAGCCAGTTGATGGTCAGGGAGGTAAAATGGCTGCACAACTTTGCTAGGATCTCCGAAGCAGTGTGTGTATTTGTGGTGATGGACTTGGCATGACTCAGTAGTTCATCACCCAGCCCTGCCTGTCACTGGGTCTGAGAACCAGAGACAGTGTGTTGAAATTTTTGCTCACCAAATAGTCACAGAGCCAAGGCAAAGCTCAGCATTGCTGTCTTAGAATTTTTCCCAAGAGACAGAGTAATTTCTGTCAAAAATTAAAATTCAGGAGCTCCAGCATCATTCTTATCACTTCATATATTACTTTTAATTTTAGAAACATTCTGTTTCATGAACTTGCTGCCCAATTATATTTTCCTAGGAAATGGGATTTATATATTGCACTATCATACAATTCCTTTGACCAAATGAAAACTCAAGCGTGGATACAGAGAGTCACCCCACCATCCAAAAGGAGCCTGGACTTGTGATAACTTTACATACCTTTATTTTGTCCCAGGGATCTTTCTTCCAGTTCCTCATTTAATTTACACCAGATCAATTATAAACAGCGAATGCTTCTGAATGCTCTGGGAGAATATGATGAATGATAATTAACTACAGAAGCACTGTTGCTGAATTTCTGCCTCCCAAGTGTAACCTTTTAAATGGCAAGAGCCCTCCCTGAAAGCAATAACCAGCATTTCCTTAATGAAAAGCCAATATTTCAGTAAAGGATTGCTATATTTCTGCAGCTACTGCTCTATTCAGCTGAACAATGAAATCTGAAATATTTGAGTGATTAAAACTTTTAATTAAACCACATTCTCTCTGGGCATTTTCACTTCAAGCCTGTCTCTTGCTTGCCTTTCAGCGGAACACTATCTCAGCAGTAGCAATTACATGGACTGCATTTCCTCGCTGACAGGAAGCAATGGCTGTAACCTCAACAGCTCTTTCAAAGGCTCTGACCTCCCTGAGCTCTTCAGCAAACTGGGCCTGGGCAAATACACAGACGTTTTCCAGCAACAAGAGGTCAGTCGGTATTTATTTTCCTGGGTATCTTTGTTTAGGTTGTGTGCATAATGACTACTGGAATGAAATCACTCATTGACCTATGAGTATGTCCTCACTGAGCATTTATTCAAGTCTCATAACGTGTTCTTGCTGCTGAGAAAAATGTCATCTCATTTCTTATTTATTTAGTGCAGCTAGTAAACACAGGCTAGCGGAAACAGACAAAATTGTGCTTGCAAAAAACACACTATCGCCGTTCTTCAGCAGTTTTAGCTAAAAGGCCCAATTGTATTGCACACCTCCCCTAAGGTCAGCAACAAGTGTGTATTTAAGATGATTTAATTTTTTTAATCTGTTATCTTTGTTTTTGTGCACTTAAAAATAAATAGCAGCATCTGAAATATCTGTGGCTGTTCTTGACCCATCCTAGTAAAGTTACTGAAATCTGTTCTCACAGAATATAATGTTTGTTTGTTAGCATGTTAACTTATTTATTAATTTACCATCCGGATTTTACCTGAATGAAGACAGAACTGAGATGTCTTCTGAACCATCGCTACCACAGATTTTGATCAAACTGATTAGCCACAGTCCATTATGCACTGGCATAAAGAAAAGAGCCCCTGGGTGTGATTCTTTGTAATAATACTGTCACATTACCAGGACACAGCTAGCCCAATGCATCAGAAAATTAAAATGATTTTTTTTAAGCTGGGCTTGGTGGCTCAGCCTGTAATCCCGCGCCTTTGGGAGGCTGAGGTGAGTGGATTGCCTGAGCCCGCGGGTTTGAGACCCGCCTGGGCAGCGAGAACTCATCTCTACAATAAATCAAAAAATCAGCCGGGCGTGGTAGCGCATGCCTGTAATTCCGGCTACTCGGAAGGCTGAGGCGGAAGGATCGCCGGAGCCCAGCAGGTTGAGGCTGCGGTGGCCGGGAGCGGCCACTGCACTCCAGTCTGGGCGACAAAGTGAGACTCCAACTCAAAAAAAAAAATGGTTTTTTAAATCTGTATCTCTTTCAAATCAAGACATGGTCCAAGTTGGATGTTAGCTGGCTGAATTTCATATTAGAGAACATCTGATTTAGTCAGTAATTCCTACACATGTGTCAGCATACAAATCTATGATTTGTATTAGGCACTTAGTATCATAAGTTAAATGTATTGCCCATGGCTCAATAAATTATTAAGCTTAATTGCTGGACATTTTTGGTTTTTACACCAAAAAAAAGATTGTCATGTGTATTAGATTTCAGGATATTGATTTTGTTCTTTTCCCCCCTAAATCTAAGCTAGTGTTCATTTAACCAAGAATTTTCTAAGTTTAATAACCCTTGCATACATAATCAATGTATTTAAGAATCGTATCCACTTATTTAGTCTTGCAGGTTAGATGAGGGTATCTGATTGGGAAGCTATAGGACAGAAGTATTTTAACTTGTTCAGACACAGAAGGTCTCACTGTAAGAGATTAAATGTTATTCAGTAGTATTCTGGGTTTGTTTTCATCTGTGTTTATTTCCTATTTGAAGAAGCGTAGAAATAAATTTGTTGTAGGTACTTCTTATCTCAATTACTCCAAAAAGGAAGAAAACACAAAAGTATAAAACTAGAGTGGCTTTATCTAATATTTTATTAACTATAGCAAGGGTCAGCATACTGTGGCCTGTAGACCCACTGCCTGATTTTTATAAATAAAGTTTTATTGGAACACAGCCACACTCATCTGTTTATATATTATCTATGGCCGCTTTCAAGCTACAACTGTAGAGTTGAGAAGTTACAACAGTGACAGTATGGCTCATGAAGCCTAAAGTATTTACTATCTGGCCTTTTAAAAGAAAGTATGGGGACAGTTGAACTGGAGAGTCTCTATTACATAGAATTTCTAAAAACAGATCTTTAGAACTGTGGTAAATTATGACCTTAGGATTTTGTAAGATCCCGATGTACCTTCAAAATCAAAAAAGAACATTTCAAAATGTATTCAGTATCATTTAATGAAAAGTATATTTTACTTTTTATGGTGTGTTGAAATTTAGTAATCTGCTTCCTTTATGTAGGATATTTTTCAATATTCACATATAGTTTAGTAAGAATTCCCCATTAAGTAACCTCATGAGATTTAATGTATTGTAGGCATGCTGAAGATTCATTTAGCAACCACCACAGATGATACATCAATAACTGCCAATCATTTTACCCCTTTGGCGAACCTGTCACTTTACATCTACAGTCATAGTTAATGCTCACAACAGCCCTGCAAGGTAGAGGGTTGTCAACCCTCGTTGCCCACAGTCAGTAGTGGCAGAATCAGGAAGACTCTTTGGCTGCAGAATCTTTTGCCTTTCTGTTCCTCCAGACTGTCTTACAAGGAAGAGTGGGAACCTTGGGCCATTTCCTTGCATACTTTGTTGCTGATAACAGAAAATACAATTTTACTATTCCTGCAAATACTTATTTTGTGCCCCTTTCAGAGACAGTCTGCTGGATTGAGCCAAGTAAACTACAGGTCTAACATAGTCTAGGAATCCCTCTGTCATTCCTATGTAAAACCTATAGGAAGATACCACCAATTAGATTGTTTGATTTCTTCTTATAAAGGTAAAGATACACTTAACCAATTCAGAATCCAAAGCTAAAAATATTTTTGTCTTTTCAGGACAGATATTTATTCTTCCTTTCATCAGTTCACAAAAATGGTGCAATTTTTGTATTTCCCTTTTGCCATAGCTGCCAGGATACTCAGAGCTAAATCTTCTGCTAGAATTGTCACTTCCATTTCCCCACCTGTGTTTCTTATTCTGGTCCTGTATGTTTGTGTCACACCACCCTTCTTTTTTGGAAGCAGGCAGAGCATAATGAATAAGTAAAATAGGTGTAATACCAAGTTGATCCTACAATGAGGGAGAAAATAAGTACATAATATACTGGTTATAGATTGACATTTTTACCCACAGATCGATCTTCAGACGTTCCTCACTCTCACAGATCAGGATCTGAAGGAGTTGGGAATTACTACATTTGGTGCCAGGAGGAAAATGCTGCTTGCAATTTCAGGTGAATATAAATACTTGATTCATATTTTAAAATCTGAGTAACTTCTGCCAGTGGTCTCAGCTGGTGGAGCTGTTCCTGCCCATCAACCGCTGGCTTACTACCCTGACACCTTGGTGGTTGTGGCTCTAGAGAGTTTTCCTGCGGACGTTTTGACACATGCTGAGAGTATTCTTTTTCATCAAGGCATTGCCTGAAACCCTACCTTAACAGTGCCGTTCCTGAAAAGAGATCTCTTTAGAAAGATCTAACTAAAATTTCCCTATGTAGAACATGTGAAGGGGGAGACAGCTTAATTCTCCTTTTCTCAGTTGTGTTAAATAATGATCATTGGGTTAGTGAATAACTATTTTTGATTAGAAGTCATGTCTCAATTGTGTGTGACTTTGCACATCGCCTGAGATCATTGCACTGAGAAGAAAAGGATGCTCATTGGTGTAGCTTGGAACCTGGCAGTGACACTTGTTTTAATTCTTTTGGGTTTTTTTCTAATGTTCTAATAGAATTTGTGAATCACAGAAGAATATAGCATCCTGAAGGTAGTCACAGAGTGAAGGAAAATAACGTTGTCTCCCTCCCCAGACCACTTTGTTTGTGACTCTGTTATTTAGTCTGTGTTTTAGAAAATGCTCCATACGTATTTATTGGGTGTCACCTACTGGAAAGAAATCAGGCCAGATAAAGAGTCAGGAGTTGGCAAATACATAGTAATATTTCTCAAAAAGGTGTTTAGAGAAATGTGTGGAAGAAATTTGAAGGGTGAAATGGGATTCGCTTTTGAAGACTTTCCAATAAAATACTTGTATGTCAAATTTATATGTGTACCAGTCTCTCAAAAAGGCAGAGACACCCAGGGCAGAAGCCTAGTGTCATGTGCTATGAGAAAATAACTTTGCTCTTTCAGAATACTGAGTTTGCAGGCTGTTCTAGATGAGACCCACAGTTGCAGCCAGCTGGTTGGTGAAAGTCCGTTCCAGACAGCACTCACTAATCAGATACATGTAGATAAAATTTAAAACCCCAGTGGTTTTCCATTTATTTTAACCTCAACTCATATACCCCACCCATTTCCAATGAGGAAATCTTTATCTGAAACAGATATAGGCAAAGTAGCCTTGGCATAGGAGTAGGAATCTGGCCATTGAACTTCCATATGACAGCCTTTTAGGTTCCTTCATAGATAAATAGAGTTCTACACACATCAGTTTTATAAGTCTTCTTCCAAAACTTCTTGGATACATGCTGTGTATCCCAGAGGCTACGTTAATGGAGCTGCAGGGCACATGCATAATTCTTGTTTGCTCATAAGATCATCTTGGTGTTGTGGAAAGAACACTAGATTCAGATAGAAGGGCTTTGCCTCTGCTCAGTCAAAAGTCTTTGAGTGAGTTTCTAAGCTTCTTTTAGTTTTGGTTTATTAATCATAAAGGTAGATTGGAATAGAATGATTGTGTAAGGGCACCTTCCATGTCTAAGATATATCTTTTCATGTGATATGTCATCAGACTTAGTGAAAATAGACAAACTACAGTTTCAACCTTTTGTATGACTGGCAGGATACTTCCTTGTTCTTGGCAATAGGATAGTTTTATCAACTTATTTGTTTACCCTAAAGATCAGCCTCAGGGTATTTCTAATCTCAAGTTAACTTTCTGTGTTTTCACATGCTTTTATTAATTTGCAAGTGAAATTGATATACTACTTGAAATTTGATTAACTTACATATTTATCATACTTACGCTGTTGAACTATGCCTGCGAGCCAGAACTTTTTTTTTTTTTTAACCAAAGAAAGGTATATAGTCCAGAACACCATAATCTTTTTACTGATTCATGGAATGGCAGTGATCATATAATGAAAACTAAGTTCTTTATTTATGTACCAACCCAGTTCCAAACTCTGTAAAGCTTTTAACAAAACAAGTACATGTCTCTCAATACTTTCACAGGCTGTAGATGGATCACCAGTACCTTTACTCTAGGATATATCAGTACCTTTACTCTGGGTTTTAGAGAGTAGGGTGGGAATCAGAAAGGATTTGAATCCTCTTTTTAAAAAACAAAACACTTTTTTTCTAATCATCATCTTCAGTGTGATTCTTTTGAGATTATATACTATTTCTATGGCCTTCTTCTTTTAGTGGATTCACGGTCCTCTTGCTTTTAAAGGGAGTTAAAGACTTTAAATAAGATGCATATGAATGCCCTGCATGGTGTGAAGTATTTGATTATTTTAAGGATAATGTACCTTACTTTGTTGAGTGCATTTGTTGGAATCTGGTAAATTGTTTTCTCTGCAAGTACTAGGTTTTTATTGAGAAACACTTCATCAAAAAGCTTCTTTTTCCAGTTCAACTTATCTGATAACAAAGACATCCATTTATAGACCCAGAACATTCCATTTCCTGATAGATACAGTAATAGCTGGGCTATTCCTTGTCTTGTGGTTACACAGTGTGGCTAGATACAGAGTTTGCTTAAAGTTCTTTTAAAATGTTGTATAATTTTAAACTTATAGTAAGAGTCGTTCTTTCAATATGAAGTTTTGTTTTTAATCTTGGGCCGAAAGACATTTATTTTAATGTTATAAAAATAAATAAATGAAATTATTTATTTTTAATAGATTAAATTTATCTCTAATGGAGATAGAAAAAAGAATAAATTTGATTTTTTTTCCCAAATTCATGATTTTTAAAAACTCACGGATTTCTCTCAGTGTTTTAATGATTGGTTAAACGTGCAGGGACTCAGTGAGAGGAAGTTTAGCCTCCTGTTGACAGGCTTCCTGCCACAGCCTCTGTTAGTAGATCTAACATCTCCCGACCTATTCTTTTAGTTTGTGACTCTGTTCAGATCCGCAACAAGATCCTGAGAGCTGCCAGGATTGTGTGAACCTTGGAATTTCAAAGAAAAAGGTTGGTATTTTCCCACACTATCCCTTAGGCTTATTAAAAAATATTCGGAGGAATGAGTTTGCTTTTAAATTTAAAAAACAGCAGCACCACTACCAAAAAATCCTAAAGTCTCTTCAGGAGGACTTGATCCATGATAACCTCTCTGGAAGATTAATCTCTGTGCCTCATGTTTAGACACTTAGGAATATATATATATATATTTATATATATATATATATATATATTCTCAGAAACTGCCTCTGTAGGGAATGGGTGAATTATCTTGTGGTTGTTTTACTCTTTCAAAAATTTAGCTGATGTGACTGTTCAGAATAAATTTTTCAGTTTTTATTTTTAAAAATTGTCTTCAGTGGCCCAATGGTTTTATGTGCTCAATTATACATGTTATATCTGCTAAGGGAGAACATTATTTGGCCTCTTTCCTTTCGTTTCCTTCTGAATATTATGGGAATGTCCTCTTGATTTGTAGGCTGTTTTCCAATAAGAAAATGGAGGCCAAAAATAGTTTCCTGGCTTGAAGGTGATAAAACATTCCCAGGCTATATACTTAAGAAGATTCATTTATTCTTAACTCTTCTTTCCGTTTGCCTTTAAATGTATTCAATTCTGTCTTGATTTCTGAATTTTGAAGTGCTATATTTATTTTTATTCTTTTTAGTGAGATACATGTGTTCAACTTTTAATAGGAATTGTCATTGCTACAGGAACTTGAAACAATAACCATCTGTATGCATGCCTGCATGTGTCTTTTGCGTGTAAAGATCTCTTCCTTGCTTCTTTGGGGTTTTTAAGCTGTGTTTTCTATTTAATAAATAAATTTGGTATACTAAAATATGAAATAAAGTTTTGTTGTCTGGCATACCTGGAACTACCAGTTTCTCAGGTTCATACTCCTGATACCTCATGGGTCTTCTCTGTCAGGTGGCTTACTGCAGCCCAGTGGCTGGAACATTGACCTTTGTGTCAGGCAGGCAGAGAGTTTCAGCTGTCACTTAATAGCTGTGTGGGCAAGTGACTGTGTCTATTTTTAAAATCAGTTTTCTTTTCCGTAAGATGGAGAACGGTAATATTATCTATCCCTTAAGGAGGACTTGAATAGTACAAAATAAATGTAAAGTGCTTGTCGTGTAATAAACCTTAATGAATCATTGTTATTTTTCTTGTCTACTGAGATCTACATGTGAACATAAAAGAGATGTCTCCACTGTTGCTTTGACCTTATCGGGCATGCATTTACATTTTGGAAGGCTGTGGGGTGAAGTGTGTTAAGGGTGTTAGTCCATCTTCCAGTACGTGGGGACACAAACACATCTAATCATATGGCTGTTCTTAACCCCCTGTGACCCGTTACAACCTCAGTCTGTGTCCCCATCCTCAACGTTACTATAGATGGTCTTAGCTTACATTGTAACTTCAGAATTCAAAAGAAGTATTGTGTGTGTTGTTGAAAGAGTACTGAGTCCCATGCAACTATAAAGTGCTGAATCACCTGCTCCAGATCCTAAAAACAAACAAATAAAAAACTTTATATAATCTTTCTAATCTATTCAAGTTGAATACATTTGAGGATATTTGTATTTGATGGCTATCAGAAACCCTAATTTTCATAATATGACAATTCTGCATACTTGTATGAGTTTATGAGAAAGTGTTACATCAGAGATTCGGGATGGGGGTCAGGATGGGGGTGACGCTTAGTCATAAACAAGATAGTCTGCTTCATTTAACTTTTTACCTTTATGGTTAGTTGGCAAAAAACAAACTAAACAGTGTTTTCGAAGTACTCTGGTTTCTTTAAGGTTCAAATAGGCATCTCAGTTTTTCCCTGAAAATTTGGATTCAAGTATTGGTTGTTTTCAAGTATTAATTTTCTGGGACTGTTGTGATTTTTTTACTAAGTTGATTTTTTTTTTAATTTACAGAAACCTTCTATTGACATGCTTCTTTGTATAAATATTTCTGACTCAAGAAGCATAGGCTTCATGAGTTGGCAGAGACGGGGGTGGTGGGCTTGATACAGTTGACCTTTGAACAACACAGATTTGAACTGCGTGGATTCACTTACACATAATTTGGTTTTTTTTTAAGATTTGTGACAATTTGAAAAAAATTCCAGGCAAACCTCTTAGCCTAGAAATACTAAAAAAGGCCAGGCTTGGTGGCTCAGCCTGTAATCCCAGCACTTTGGGAGACTGAGGCAAGTGGATTGCCTGAACCTACAGGTTCAGGAGCAGCCTGGGCAACTTGGCAAGACCTCGTCTCTACAATAAATAAAAAATTAGCCAAGTGTGGTAGCGCATGCCTATAGTTCCAGCTACTTCCAGCTACTTGGAAGGCTGAGGTGGAAGGATCGCCAGAGCCCAGTGGATCAACACTGGGGTGGCTGTGAGCGTGCTGCTGTACTCCAGCCTGGACGACAGAGTGAGATTCCAACTCAAAAATAAAATAAAAAAAAGAAATACTGAAAAAAATTTAAGAAAAAGTGAAGAATGTCAGGAATGCATAAAATATGTAAAGTCTATTTTATTATTTACTACCATAAAATATACACATATATTTTTAAATGTTAAAATTTATCAAAAATTACACAAACACGGACCATACACGGCACCACTTGCAGTCAAAAATAAATGCAAACAAATGTAAAAGAAGGCAATATTAAATACTAGCTTCATAAAATTGTACATACCATCCTACTGTAATAATTTCATAAACACTCCTGTTGCTAATGCAGGGAGTCAAACCTTGAGAGTGTCCATTTAAAGTTTATCCTGTTACACTAATTTATCTCCGTGTGGGCAATTAATCTCTCCAGTAAATTGCATATTGCAATAAAAAGTGATTTCTCACAGTTCTTGTATATTTTTCATGTAAACCTTGAATAATGTAAAATGCATGCAAAGTATCACTAACAATGCTGGAAGTGTTCCCAAGAAGCAGAGAAAACTCATGACATCATAATAAAAAATTGAATTGCTTGATATTTATCATAGATTGTGGTCTGCATCTGTGTGACTGCCTACCATTTGAAGACAAATAAGTTCAGCATAAGGACTATTGTTTTAAAAAGGAAGGACGAGTAGATTTGTGAAGCTGTTGCTATAGATATACTCACAGGTTCAAAAACTTAGCACTTTTTGTGAAATACTTTTTGATCTCATATTTAAAATGCAACTTTTTTGTGGGTGCAAGATTGCTACAAGAAGACCATATCTATAGACTCTAACATGATTTGAGAAAAGGTGAAGTCACAACTTAAAGCAAAAGGAAGGTGAAGGTGAAGGATATATAGCTGGAGAGGATAGTATCAGCAAAGGATGGTTTGATAATTTTAGAAAGAAATTTGGCTTAAAAAAAGTTGAGATAACAGGAGAGTCAGCTTTTGCTGCCCTGAGACAGCAGATAAGTTCCTAGACATCATTGAGACAATCATTGAGGTGAAAGGATATTTTCCTAAACAGGTTTTTAACAACTATTCTGGGATGGCAGGTGGAATGTCGCAAGGGGCAAAGGGCATTTACTTGTAAGGAAGAGAAACGAGCACCAGGATTTAAGACAAGAAGGGATAGGCTAACTACTGTATGGTTCAATTGGTAGTCAGGTTTATGATCAGGACTGTCCTTATCTATAAATCTTGCTCACCCTGTAGTCTATAAATGCCAGCTGCTAGTCTTTAGTGGCACAAGGAGTCCTAGACAGTAAGAACCCTTTTTAAAAAAATTGATTCCATTGAAGATTTGTTTGTGAAGTTTAAGTTCTTCTGACCACCCTAAAGCCTGTGAGTTCAATACTTGTCCCCAAGCATAAGGTTTCTAATTCAGTCTCTGGGTCAGGGGCTCATAAAGACCTTTAAGGCTCACTATTATATATGCTACTCTATGGAAAGTATTGTCAGTGATATAGAAAAGAATTCCATTAGAGAGAATATCATGAAAGTCTGAAAGGATTACATCATTGAAGATGCCATCATTGTTATAGAAAAAGCTGTGAAAGCCATCAAGTCCCCAAAAATTAATTCCTGCTGGAGAAAACTATGTCCAGATGTTGTACATGAGTTCACAGGATTTACGACAGAGCCAATCAAGGAAAACATGAAAGAGGTTATGGATATGGGAAAAAAAAGGAGGGGGCGAGTCAGGAGGTAGGGAGAGAGTAGGAGATGAAAGGTTTCAAGATAAGGACCCTGGAAAAATTCAAGAACTAATAGACATTACACCAGAGGAATTAACAGAAGATGACTTGATGGAGATAAGTGCTTATGAACCAGTGCCAGATCATGACAAAGAAGTAGAAGAAGCAGTGCCAAAAAACAAATTGACATTAGACAGTCTTGCAGAAAGGTTCCAATTTTTCAAAATTGCTTTTGACTTTTTAATGATATGAACCCTTCTATGAAACAGGTACTGAAACTAAGGTAAATGGTGAAAGAAAGATTAGTGCTGTATAGAAACTTTTTTTTTTTTTTTTTTTTTTTGGCGAGAGAGGGTCTCACTCTGTAGCCCAGGCTGGAGTGCAGTGGCACAATCCCCACTCACCACTACCTCAAACTTCTGGACTCAAGCGATCCTCCCATCTCAGCTTCCTGAATAGCTGGGACTACAGGCATGTGCCACACATCTGACTAATTTTTTTGTAGAGACAGGGCCTCGCTATGTTACCCAGACTTGTCTGAAATTTCTGCCCTCAAGCGATTCTCTCACCTTGGCATCCCAAAATGCTGGGATTACAGATATGAGCCACTGCAACCAGCCAGGATGACTATAGTTAACAATAATATATTGTTTCAAATGGCTAGAAGGAAAATATCGAATGTTCTCAATACAAATAAATGATAAATGTATAAGATGATGAATATGCTAATTGCCCTGATCTGTTCACCATGTATTGTATGTATCACAACATTGTTATGCACCCTCCTGCCTCAGCCTCCCAAAATTCTGGGATTACAGGTATGAGCCACCATGCTCAGTTTGAAAATATTTTTAGAGAAATGCAAAAGCAAAAATGTCAGACAGAAATTTGGATGTATTTCCATAAGTTTACACTGAATGTGCCTGCCTCGTCTTCCATTTCCGCCATCTCTTCCACCTTTGCCACTCTTGAGACAACAAAACCAACTCCTCATATTCTATATAAATATGATGAGGAAGAAGACCTTTATGCTGATCCACTTTCAGTTAACGAATAGCAAATATATTTTATCTTATGATTTTTAAAATTGTTTCTAGCTGACTTTTTGTAAGCATACAATATAAAATACATATACAAATTATGTGTTAATTATCTTTTTATGTTATAGTAAGGCTTATGGTCAACTGTAGGCTATTAGTAAAGTTTTTGGCGGTTCAGAAGTTATTCATGGATTTTTTACTGCATGGGAGGGTCGGTGCCTCTAACCCCCATGTTTTTCAAGGGTCAACTGCACTTCAAGGTGCTCCTCCAATATCCTTATGTTTAAGCGTGGGGTCTTCTTTTCATATCTGAACTTTAATAACTTAGTGATTGCTGTGTTTGACATGGATACATTCAATAGCTATAATAGTCTGTACCCTTGGTAATACATTATCGCATAAACTTTTTATCAGCTTTGATTGTTCCCTTTGCCTCTGAAATGACATTTAGGGTAGGTCAAATTGTTTAATTTGGTTAGAGAGTTTTGAGAATGACATACTCCCCAGATAGTTTACAAACTATAATGAAAACTATTTGGAGTTTACAAATTGCAATAAAAACTATCTGCTGTGCTTTGTTCTCTAGGCTATCCATGTACTACCTTTATTTTCACTGCAAAAGAACCCACAGTTCTTTGATTGAAGAAGTCAAAAAAATCATACTTTCTAATATTTCAGAATATTTTGACCATCAAGTTTTTCTTTTGCCACCAGACTTGATGTTCCCCAAAATACCTGCCATGTCATTATTTTCTGAGCTCTAATGCCACATTCTGTACTACAGATAGAGCTTACCTGTTGCGCTCCTAACAATTCTCTCTTTTTCTTTCTAGAACTAAACAAAAACCGAAGAAAGCTTTTTGAATCACCAAATGCACGCACCTCTTTCCTGGAAGGTGGAGCGAGTGGAAGGCTACCCCGTCAGTATCATTCAGACATTGCTAGTGTCAGTGGCCGCTGGTAGCAGTGTCCTCTAGGCACAAGCCCGCCGACTAACTGTAAAGGTGGACACAGGAAATCTGTGAACAGCCTTCACTGCACACCGTCCTCAGCATTCTGGGTGTCTGGTTTCAAGACCAAAGCATCTTACTTGCATCTGTACTTTATGGCAAAAAGGAAGAAAAGAGAGAAGATGTTCTTATGATATACAGAACACCAAATGTGGATTACTTTTTTTAAATGGCAATTGGACAGAATTTGCAATATGAGAATAAGGCTTTATTTCCTGTTTTTATTTACCTATATAACATATGCACTGATTTATTTTTATTAGTATTTTTTTTTTTTTTTTACTTAAAATGAAGGATGAATTGACATCTGGGATGCCAGAAAACTTAGAAGTTATTTTGTTTGCTTGTTTTGTTTTGGTATTTGGGATTTAAAAAAAAAATCAAAGTGGGATTTTCTGGTATGCTTTAAAATAATTATTGAGGTCTTTCAGCACTTTACATGTTCTAATTTCTTGTCCTGTGGAAATTCTCACTCTCTCCATCTCTCTCTCATTTTTGTATTACCTGATACATTGGTACAGGTCAGATTTAGTCACATTTTTCTGACTGCATCAAATTTGTATTTGAAATGGTACTGGATATTAGTTTCTGTCCAGAATATTCTGTGACTTTGGGAGATGTAAGTGAGTCTACTTGGTTCTGGACCAATTCTGATCATGTATGTCAGCATCCTAGAAACAGCAATGAACCCTAGTTCATGGTCATAGGTGCAAAGAAAGACCAAATGGACTTTGCAATATTAACCCTTTGCAGTCGTCATACTTAGCTGCTGCCTGTATTGCTAAAATGTTTTTAGTGGTTGTCTGGAGGCAAAGGGCTGTTTTTTAGTACATTGCCACTAAAGGACATTTATTTATATCAAACTTTTATTTTTAGATGTTATAAGCATACAGTACATAATTGATGAAATTGATATTTACTAGAGATTTATGGTAGAGAATGGACGACATTAAATAACTGGAGCCCTAGATTGTCACTTTATTTAAAAAGACAAATAATCATCTGACAAGACAGCACTGTTGCCATTATGAGGAGAAATAGACTATGATCCTTATCATGTACACATTAGCTATGCTCCACATGGTCACAGGACTTTCCTAAAAGCATATCTGTCTACTTGAAGTAGACTTGTGTTTGTTGAGAATGGAAAGGCATATTTGAGTCTCCAGGGTGACAGTTTATAAAGATAGCTGAGTTCTAAAGGGGAAAAAAAGACTATTTTTTAAGTGGCTAGTTTCATTGTTACAATCTTATACTGTGAAAGTCCAAGAAATCGGGCAACATTGTTTTCTGGGTCTTTTCAGACATTTTATTGTGGATTTATGAAAGGTTTTTAATCTATGAAGAAAATCACTAAAGTGCCTTTCTTTCTTCAAAGCAATATTATTTCCAAGTATATTAATTTGTTAGAAAACTTTCCCATAGGAAATGTTGTCTGTTACCTGTACTGTAACAACTTATTTATGTTCAGTATTCAAGATTTTCTACACGGACATAAACCACTCTCATGTGCTCTCAGCAGAAGCCATTAGATAAGTGAATACAACAGTTGGGTACTTTTATACAAATGTGGGATAAAAAATATCTACCTGACATTTTTTTTCATGCCTAAGTCTTATCATTAAAGTGAGAATAAGAATTGAAGACACATTTTGCACACACAAAAAAATGCTCACGTTAAAAAATAGTATTGGTTACCTTGAAGGCATTGGTTATAGGCCCATCTAAAATTATCTATTATAACTGGTACTAAGGGACTGCCCTTCCTAAACTAAACTAAACTAAAGTAAGCCTTATCTGCTTAAGGATGTAGAATTATAATTACTATCTTTTCAAGCATAGTGGAATCATCCTGTGCATATGTAAACAGTCAGTCTTATGGATCATGTGATGATCATGACTAAACCTTGTTTGATTATATTAGTGCATCATGCTAAACATTCAGCACAGGTTAACAATTCCAGATTTGTTTCCTGTTCAGCAACTCAGTGTTCTAAATTTGCTGATGTCTTTAATAAGATCTTCCCAAATTTAAAAAAAATGATAATTTGAAACTCTTTTCCCAGTTCTTTACTATGCATCTGTAACAGGAGGAAGATGGAATGAATATGCAGTTTAAATTGATAAAGGTTTTATGAACAGTGCTTTGATTTTATATCAAAGGGAAAACTCTCCCACTTAAACTAGATTAAATAGGGTGGCTAAAAATAAAAACACTGGAAATTATTTTTCTCACTTTCTCCTGATGCAGTGAAGGGAATACGACACTGCAGTATACAGAGTTGTCGGTGTTATGTGATGCACAGAATATTTTGATTATTTGAATAAATGATAACTTTCAATCAATCTGCGCCTTAATAGCCACTGGTTATCTGTAAATATAGAACAGATACAGATTGTATTTTTGTGTGGGTTTTTGTCCTTTTAGTGATTTTTTTTTAATGAGAGATGGAATTAACATTGAAAATGGGAATTTTTTCTAACCTAATCAATTGTTACATAAAAATAAATTTATATAACCCCTTTGTATTGCTCTTGATTGATGAAATGTGTCTTTTTTTAAAAAGGAAAAAAAAAGGTAAACACACTCTATGCCTATCTTTGTTTTCTAAGAAACCTCCCCATTTTGGGACGTTGCTTTCTGCAGAGTTGAAAGCTGTGTCTGCAGTAGAATTGAATATGCATTCTCCTCTTGTTTTGCATTGACATTCCTCATTTTCACCCAGAAGCTAAAGTACTTTATTTTATTCAGTGAATCCAGGGCCAGTAATCAATCATTGTTTCTCTGGCCACCCAAAAGTACATACTAAAGGAATAACATCAGAGAATAGGTTTTATTCTTGTTATTTCTTTCTTGTATAAAGACTCAAGTGTATGACTGTCTTGACAGCCTCATCTATCAGCAAAGGCCCCCATACTGAAGTGAGGCTGGGCTTTTTGACCCAGGCTCCCCTTTCAGAGACTGACCACTATGCTATCGATCACTGAGAGCTTTCTGTGCCCAGCACAGAGATTCTGACCAACTCCTCAAACAGAATTTATGCTGTATGACAAATTCTGATATGGCAAACTCTTAAAGAAATCTTAGCCCTCTACTCATTATACCAGGAATATTTCCTCTTGAATTTTCCATGTCAGTGGTTGTTAAGTATTTCTAGAACAAAAGTCATTTTAATAATTGAAATTTTAACCTGTGACCCAATATGAAATTCTTCATTTATTTACTAATTATATTCATCATATAAATATTCATAATATAGAAATATTTAGTGAGTACCAGGTTCTGGTCTAGGCACAGCAGTAAGTAAAACCCCTTGCCTTCCTTGAGCTTAAATTCTAAATAGCTCTATTAGGGAACTGATGAGAGAATGGTTGGAGGATTGAATATCCTCACCCTTCAACATGGGCGTCCATGTGTTCATGGCATTCCAGGGGAACTCTTGGGAGTCTGTCTGGAAACCGGTTTTTAACAAAACTGTTGAAAGTACCCACCACTCCAGAATAGGCCAGTGCTTGCAAATGCGAAATATTCCATCCTCTCATCTTCCCTCCCTCCCTTTTTCTAGGTTCCACCGGTTTAATTACATTCTCAAAAGGAGTGTGTGGTCAAAGTGCTATATTCCTCTGCTTTATAGTTGTCTCCTGCGATGACAATGAGGACATATCACTTCCTGGGTTTGACTTCAAGTGACTTTGCAGTCTCTAGAAATCATGTTTACCTAAAAAAAACATGTTTGCTACCACCAAGCATATTGCAAGAATGCAGTCATACTTGGAAGTTAATTCCAAATGCAGACTTCCCACAAGACACCAGTGGAGTAAGGAGTGTCTCCTTAGGTGACTGTTTCCAAGGGAACCAACTTCACACCCTTGGCTGCATACATTCTGGTATATATTGTTAAATTATCTCAGAGCTTATCCTGGTTTGGGTACTTATTAATTATGTGGATTCAAATGTGTCAAAATTCATTTAACCTAATTTTGATAATCTGATGTTTATTGAATGTTTAATTTCAGTCATCACCAGAAGCCATGGTTCTCCCACAGTCCTGCTCCAGGTAAGTCAGCTTCCTTTCTCCTCAAGCAGACTTTTGGATGTCTTTCAGGTAATCTGAGAGGTGAAGAGATTGGAATTTGTAATTTTACAAACTTACATTTAGGTCTAGTCTTCAGACTCTGGGAAAATTCCTCTGTGTCTTGGAGTCTTTGTGAAATGGAAATAATACCCACCTTTGAGAATGGTTGATTGAAAGGGTAAAGAGAGGCTGTGTGTGAATCTGCACAATACACAGCATAGAGAGAGCTGTGCGTTAATAACAACTACCCTGATTACTAACAAGGTTTTCCTTTTACCGCATGGGTGTTTCTTTACCCATCAGTGATCTTGTGTTCATCTACCTTCTGCATCACAAGGAAAACCCATTTTCTGCGCCAAAATGTTAGGAGAACTTCACTGTCCAGTCTTCAGTGACCTACCTCTTGACTCATAAGGTTGAAGTCAGAACACTGTCCTGAAGGTCAAGGTCAGGGGCTCCACACCTTGTACAGAAATATGTTCTATATTTGATTACTTTTTGTCTTTATTCCTTTAATTCACCAGAGTATTGAGAACTGGGTTCTCCATATGGGTGGAAAGGGTTAGTAGCTAATTATAGTACTCATATATGTTGTGCCTGATTGCTATATTCCCAGAGAGTTCTCATTATTCTAGATAATATTCACGCCCCATTGCCCCCAAGGTCAACTCCACCCTATCCCTGGTTGATCAGCTTCTCCCAGTGTTATTCTTTCTGCCCACCACTGCCACAGGATTTAATACGAATTCCCTTTGTGTGTGTATAATGAATTTTTCTTTTGGAAGGAGCTATTTGCCTATACTTGTGCTACGTTTTATTTTCCACTTTAAAGCTGTTCGCTTTTTAAAGAGTTAGAGAATATTTGACTGTTCCTACAGACGTGGCCAGTACACTTCAAAAACACTTCATCAAGGGATTTCACATTTTTGTTGCTTTTTAAAATACTTTGACTCATTCTGAAAGATGGCAAGTGGAGTTTGAAGTTCCCTTTCTCAAGGGTTAGGCCATGAATACGTTTGGAACAGATTTTGAGAATTGGAATCTGACTCTGACTTTGGAGGCAGAATTTC